TTTTCGTGATTTTGATATTTCTGATTTAATTTGACTTAGCTGGACTATATCTCTCAAATTAAAGAAACAAAAGATTATGAGATGAAATTCATTGTCGAAAGAGCTGTGTGAAAGAAATTAAATTGCTCTAAGATATGCCCAAATGAGATTGAACGAGATTCATAGGGATTCGGTATAAGGGTGCGTCATTAAGTATGGTGATTTGAGTTGACAGCTCAACTGAATGTTGTCACATTGATAATTCATAGGGAGAAGAACAGCAGTCAACTCCAAAGCGGATTGAGGCTAAGTTCTAGCAGATGTTCAAACAAAAGTCATATCATTAACGAAAACGAAAAAAAATAAATAAATAAAAAGGAGAGTTTTTAATTAGTATTCAATTGAAAGGACGTCCTATACGTATACAAATGAGCAATTTCGCTAGAAGTAATAAATTATTGATAGCTTAGTTTTGATTGCTATCCAATAGCCATAGTAACTAATGATGTAATTATAACATTCATTATGACTCTGACCCCATCAACACACCTTTCATCTTCGCTGTAACACTGAAATAGAAATTGTCAAAATTCTGCCATGAAAGGTGTCACTACCCGGTTAATGGTAACAGCTATGATATAGTTTCTCCTAAGACTCTTAACGACAATTCTTTCCTGATGGCGTTGAAAGAGGTCTTTCTGGTATCACTACTTCTTTGGTTATTGCCAAAATATGGTTTCGTGAGTGGTATGTCACTTTGTACACTTATGTAGCTCTTGCGATGATGTCCAAATGTAAGAGAAGTGATCAGAACACTAGTCGAGTGGCGATGCGATAGGCGAAATAGCCTCCTAGAAACTACTGTTGCATCAAGTAATTATAAGTATTTGAGAAAATTTTGAACTTCTAAAATTATGATTTATATTCATTTTAGTGAATTTGTGCAATTTTTGGTTTGTTTTATGGTATTTGTTTGTTGAAAGGCAAACCAAATAAAAGGTCCAGAGACAGTTCTCTCTCATGTCCGTCTTTAAATGGTGGAGTTTAGGGCTTATTTAGTCTAAAAGTTTCTTTAAAATATACGGCATTTGTGCATAGCCACACGAATTGCAACGACCAGCAATCAACCTTGACAAATTAAAATCCCTCAATGGGAAATTAAGAAGAAACAAATTATGATACTCTTGTAGTTAGTGACGGTAAAGATCCTCATCAAATATGTTAATTAGGAATTGAATTCCTTTGACGTTGTCGTGGCAACTCGACTGTTCATGTTGTCACTTGGTCACGTGAACTTCATTTACATTTTTCTTTTCTGCATTTTCTTTCATTTTTACATTTTTTGCTTTCCCACGGGAGAACATCACACAGACTGCAGTATTTGTGGGAAACTTACCCTTAAAGCATCATTTTTCCAATGATAATTGCATTCTTTCATTTTTCAAGATATTTGCAGAAGTCTCCGATTTACAAATGCTAAATCTGGTGTTGCACTTTCAAACCACGTGATTGTGGATTTCAAAGTTGAAGACGAGGAGCATTGCCGGCTGAAATGTTACATGGAGAAGACTTGCTTCTCTTACAACTATGGTCCCTCCTTGGCCAGAGTACATGGCTTCACTTGTGAACTGAACGACGTCGATGCATCATCCCACCCAGATGATTTACAACCTCGAGACGGGTTCGTGTATCAAACAGCTCAGGTAAATATCATCATTTCTTCAAATCAATTTTGAGAGTAGAGGACGAGGGCTGAAGAGTAAAGTTTGGAACTCTGTTTGTCAGGAATGAAATCTAACATTGTATTTTATCTCAGTGGGCTCTACATTGTATAGTCTGCTTTTGCTTAACCTAGCTGTCCTTAAGACTAGGAAATAAAAATAGAGCGCAGTGAGACAGAAAGGAAGAACAGAGGACGAACTCTTTTCCTCGTGTGGTTTTTGACAGGAAATGTGTGGTGATGTTTTCTGCCCTTCATATGCTGTTTGCCAACGGGACAGTTCCAATAGAGAAAGATGCTTTTGTAAGCCTGGAGTAACTCAAGGGAATTGTGAAGGTTTGATTACACTTGTTACAATTTTTTCAAACAAACAAACAAAAAGATAATGAAATATCCAATCATTTAAACGGTATATCGATAGATCACCAAATATCGAACGCGTGATCGCGTTAGACCTCATCAATCGATCGATCGATCAATCAGCCCCCATCAGCAAATCCCTTAACCCGTTGACCCCCAAGAAGGATTTTCATCCAATTTGCCCTTACGATATTACCGCTTAATCACACATTTAGGTTACAATAATAAATGAAATGATCACCAGATAAAGAAGCTCTTGATCGGTAAAAAATTCTTTACGTCAGCACCTTAGCTAATGTACAGAGTTTTAAGTAAGCCTTGAGATGCGATCCCTTTATGAGACACAGTGATCTAACTATTGAATGAAAGTTTACTTTAGGACGTGAAAAGTATGCTTATGAAGCAATGTACCAAACGCCAAGCCACAAACAAGCAGTCAGTAAATAAAACAAAATCGCACTAACATATGCTGCATTCTCCTGTTTCTCCTAGGCATGAAAAACACTACCGTTGTTAAATCTTGCAAGGAGGTTAAGCGCCTAATACCTAGTTATCCAACAGATGTTTACTGGATTAACCCAGATGAGGATAACCCAAATGCTTTCCAAGCGTATTGTGATATGGAAACTGATGGCGGCGGCTGGACTCTTGTTTACAGCTATACTTTCACTGATTACAACAATTTCCTGAGTGACACCAATGCCGTAACTCCAATCCCCAACTGGCCTTTCGTGTCGCAAACCTCGTCTTTGACGAAGGTGCCTCTAAGTGAGACAGATTTTGGAGCTATGAATTTCAGTCTTTGGAAATTATTGGGAAGTGAATTTCTTATCAAATCCAACATCAATAACTGGATTGCGTGCATGCCGGCTGAAGGTAGTTTGGTTGAAAGACTTAAAGGAGATATTACCTGCAGAATGATAAACGGTTGGACTCAAAAATGTGCTGATGTTGTGCCAGCTATAATTGGAATTAACGAATGTGGTGTAAAGCTGAGAACTGACAGGGGTGTACGGAGTTTGGTTTATTTCTTCGATATCTGTACAGGTTCCATGGCACCCATCCACGATCCATGTGGAACTTCTAAAGCTAATCAGATTGAAGGAGTAAAAAACCCTTATGGAACTATTTTCGTGCGTTGAATGGTAAACGCATCAGTTTTTAGTTTCTCAAGACAAAATAAAAAAAAAACAAAAGAACAACTAATTGAAAATAAACATTTAAAAACAAAGCCAAAACACTAAAAAAAAAATGAGTGTACAAATATAAAAAGAAAAAAGTGAACACACATAAGAAGCAAAACGAAGTTACGAGGTGAACTAGCGCGAAAGAAAAGAAAACAGGAAACAAAACCAAAAACAAAACAAAACAAAACGAAAGAACAAAAAATAACCAAAATAAAATAAACTAACAGATAAAAAGGAGGGGAGAAAAGACGGAAAAGAGAGCCAAGAAGACTTAACTCAAGTAAGAAAAAAAATACAAAAACAAAAAAAAAAAAAGAAACATTGTAGAAAATTTAAAAAACCACAAACAAACAGACCAAAAGAATACAACAACGGTAACATACACCGAAAAAAGTTGTCAGTGTCCCTGCTCTGTTGTTCGTAAATGATTTGAGTCATCTTTGTGTCAAGAATATGCTCCAGGCAAAGAGTTTTAAGAAGATGCCGGAGCAGGCTCTTTGCCAGAGCAGGCTCTTTGCCAGAACAGGCTCTTTGCAAAATAGGCTCTTTGCCAGAGCAGGCTGTTTAGAAACACACACATAAAAGAAGTCGTTGATGAAAATGTTCTGAAAATTTGCATGTGAAAAATTTTGGGTTACTGCTGCCATTCTTCCATAATTATTCATATGTCTTCTTGAGAAATGTGCTCTTGCGTTATATTTTCATTCATCTCAAGAGGAATAGCTATCCCGACGAGTTAAGACAAAGAGACTCAAAGTTTGTTCCAGCATCACATAAAATCCGGTCTAAAGGAAGAACAGGTAGTTATTGAAATTAATTAGACGTGAGAAATATTACAGCTGAAGTATATATAAGTCATCGCACAGTTATCCAAGTATAACCTTCAAAACTAGTATTTCTAACCCTCGTGGAGATTGACTTAAGTAAATGTTGTTCCTTTGTATATTCAAGTTTTTGTATTGGCAGCGAGAATAATTATAAATCATGTCTTCCCCGAAAATATCCACCTTCAACAAATTTCTCTTGATTAAAAACTCTTTTCGGCTCTTGACAGAATCAGTAGTTTGTATTTTAACTCAGCGTGTGAAATTTAATTAACTTTGTTTGCTTTCCCTTTCAAAAATCCTAGAAAGCACATTAAAACTGAGCAAGTTGGGATTAAATTTATTTTAACTTCCCAAGAAAAAAATGTTTATGCATTTTAAGTTCTTCAATAACGTGTAATTTAATGTGGATAAAAGAAAATGTCATCAATGTTTGATTACTGGTTTGTTTGTGGCCCATCTCCAGGAATTGCATCATGTCATCATTGTTAATTTTAATTTCTTCGCTTTTTTATATCTGTATAATTTTACATTGTTTAAAGTAATCCTTCTTCGTTTCCTTCTTATTCTGTGGACAGTATGTCGTCATTTTCATTGCTTAATATAAATAAAGGTAAAGTCATTTATCAAAGTAAGCGCTGTTAAAGAGCGGTTTTTCCGCGATTCTGCGTCATCACTGGCCTTCCTCTCATTGGGCTGTTTATCAGTGCAGTAACAGCCCGCTGTTCGTCGTTTGCGGCCCGCTGTGCGCGTGCTCGAAAATTGCACTTTGCCATTCGGCTGTGTTTACTAATGCATTTGAAATAACAACCTTTTATTCAACAAACAGAACATAGTAAACGCACTGGGGATTGTTGTTGGATCCGCCACCAAAAACTCAAGACAAACTGCATTATATTTTGGACGGAACTGCCTTCAAATCACAGGCATATGTCCTCTCAAGTATCACCTAGAAACATGGCGTCTGAGTCACTCCATTCTCGCCAAAACAAAGCAGATACGTTCGTCGTTTCAATCCCTGACGACGCAAATGGCAACCAGCTGGTTTTAAAGAAATTGAACGAAATATACAGCCCTGCGCTAAAGTTGTTGAAGCTTTTCGGGGCGTACTATGGACAAACCAATTTAAAACATTTGGAATGCATGCCAACCAGTCGGCGTGGAAAACAAATATTTTCGAAGATATATTGTGGTCTGATGATATCCCTTTTATGCTTAGACTGCGTTATGGCTGTCTCTGGGATTTTTACTTCAGGGGCAGAATTTGTCTTTTTGATGTTTGCTCTTATAAAACTTATGATAGTTATCTGTGGAATAACCTCATTAGCGTTCCTTCCTTTAACTACTCCCAGAAGATGTCGATTCGAACAATACCTTCGTCGCCTAATCACAAACAGCAAAGGTATCAATTTTAATTTTGTGAGGAAAAAGTCGAGAAAAGGCTTCATAGTTATCTGTTTACTTTATGTACCAATTGTTACGTTTACCGTTATCGGTGATCAAAAGTTGGACCTTGACCTTACTTGTTGTAAGCCTTGGAGTGAGTGGTTTGGCTTTCGAGTGATTGCGCAGTTGTCTACAATTATTGGCAGTGCAGTGTGGTTGCTTTCGATGTATTTCTTCTATCTAACCTGTAGAATCCTAGTAGAATGTTTCGATGGGCTTTATAAGAGAATGTCATCATTACCTCCGCTCTCAGCAGACTTTCCATCTTTAAAAATGGAACATCACAAGTTATGCGAAGTAGTCGAACTTGCCGACAAGATGCTCTCCCCACTCCTTCTCGGGGTTGTGGCGTTGTACATCCCAATGCTGTGCATCAGTTTTTACAACTCTGTCATTTTCCGAGAGGATTTGAAGTTGATGGCCCTTGCTGCTGATATTTCCTGGTGCTTTATTGCAGCAGGCGTCTTAGCAATTGTCCTGTTCTTTGGATCTAAAGTCAGCGAAAAGGTGTGCCGGGAAAATTTCATATCAGTTCATTGATCGATCTGCCTTTTAAACGTTTTTGATTTACCAGTTTGCATTTTTATTGTTGTACCGTCGGTTGGTGTAGTATATTTATTATGTTCCTATTTATATACACTTAGTATTCCTCAGATTCTTTTTTTTAGATTCACAGTTTTCAAAAGATTTTGCAAACGCTTCCCGTCTCGACAGCAGAGGAAGCAAAGGTAACTCTCATTTTCTCTATCTATGTATTTATTACCTTATTCTAACCCCCATTTCCTGTTTCGCAAAATGCTTCACGCAAAATGCTTCACGCAAAATGCTTCACGCAAAATGCTTCACGCAAATCAAAGGCAACAAATGTTATCGAAAGCCTTTCCCACGCTTTTAGCAATTCCTAAAGCTTTCTTCCTTTCTGACCATTTCCAGGTATTGCTGTTTTTACTCGACCTTCAAGGAGAACCGAAAGGTTTATCAATTGGAGGATTGCTGGTCATAACTAAGTCCACATCCTTGGCGGTAAGACTTGTGATCTTCATCTTGTCTAGTTTCTTCTCGCTTATGATTGAATTGAGATTGAACTTAATGAAAACCCTACACATTTTGCGAAATTTCACTGTCTGATAATGTTCTATTTCAGATTGCTGGAATGATAGTCTCCTACTTCACAGTTCTTCTATCTTTGCCGCGTTGACGTTTGAAAGATATAACATCGTTTAGTTATGTCAATGACAGAGATGGTTCTCAGATTTCAATCGAGGGCTAGTCTCTATCACTGAAATTGTTGGTTTTCTCGAGGTAAAAATTGATGTCAAGGAGAAGCCTTGTGACATTTTATCCTTTTTGGTAGCAATGCAGTCTTCAGTAGACTTGCCATTTCAAAGGTTGTTGTAAAGTTATGACTTGTGCTCTGGAGCATGCTTTTCATTTATACGAAAATATTGTGATATAGAAATGAAATATGTAAAAATTTAATAATTAGTCTTATTTAGTGACTGATGCAAATCCTTATAATTATGCTCAGATAGCCCTTGATAGGTTTATTGTAAGCCATGATAATAGTTTTGTAGGTTGTACTGACAAAGGATTGTAAAAATTTGTAATATTATGGCGCTATAATAAGAACCGGCTTTTGGTAGTAATATTACTAGGCTTATAACAAATGATACAATTTCTTTAGAGATTGCTTAGTGTTTAATTTTTTTATCAGTTCACATTGATATTTGTAAAAGTTGCTTAAAAACCATGTTGATTAAGAAAATTCACGTCTTAATCGATAAAATTCTCTCAAAACTGGGAAAATGTGATGTATTTTTCTTTAGTTAACTACAATTCATTATTTTTTATCCTTTCGTTTTTTTGCTTTCTAAGCACGATATACATTTAACAAAGTGTGTTACGACATTGTGCAATGAACTGTTGTGTCTCTGCAAAAAGCTGATATCAATTCTTTTTCATTGTTTGTTTTACTTTGTTTAAAGTTTGGCAGTTCCCTATCTTTCTCGTAATAGTTGTTCTGTCATGCGCATTTGTGTCAACCGCAATATTTCTCTTGATTAAATACTGAGTTCGAGCGCGTTTAAAATGAAACATTTATCTATCGTTCATTAAAGAATTGCCACATTACCGCGCACGCATAATGACAATTCCCTCCTTATTTCGGAAGCTAACGGTACGATCTTCGTAGGGAAATGTTTAAATCAAGAACGATATGGAAATTTGATCAAATTAATTTTTCTGGAACAATTCTGCCTGAAATATATTGCCCATTGTCGAAAACTCTTCTACGCTGAAACTATTATTTGGTCAAATATCGCCGAAAACACATGAGCCCTTAACAGGCTGGGATTAATTTCCTTTGAACAACACACAAGAGAGCTACGCACTTTAATTTTGTTTGTTACGCGTAAATAAACGTGCAAAGAGCAAACGGCACCGATGTTTAATATTCAGAGCAAGAGCTATTAAATTATAGATCACTTTACTTCCAAATATCTTTTAGGAGGAAGAAGAAAATAATTAGAAAAAATTATTTCCCCTCTATGTTAAAAGCCGATGCCTTTCGATATGACGTTAAAAGTTCTGACACGAAACATTCCTGGAGAAGAAATACAGAGGACATCATGACTTAGTCTCAAAGGAACAAATTCACGCCAGAAAAATGCAAATAAGCAACATGCCTGACTGAAGTAATTTTAACATCATTTTTATAAACAAACAAGGCCAACTACTATCAATAAAGCGAGCAACCAGTTATAATGAAATAGTGGGCAGTGAATTCAAACGCATTTCCAATTATTCTAGAACTGTCGAGTCAACAGTTCGTTTCGACTTGGTTAACGCGGCCCTAGTAACAAGTGAGAGAATTTAGTCAATAATGGGTCGTTTTTTCGAGTAGAATTTCTGCCGTATTTCGCCCGGTTCAACCCGGACTACGTATACACAGCTGAAGTGAACTTCAGCCTCGGTGGCGCCATTTCGGGAACTGAACCTCCTTGTTTTGCTTTCAAATTTTCCAATTCTGGGCGTCAATCAATAATTTCTTCCGTTTCTTCTATAATGCGATTGAAAACACTGCAGCTTGCTCAAGGCATGTTGGGACATTGCATTAGCTGTGTATTCTGATGCGTTTTGGAAAGCAACAGTGGTTACCCTAGTTTGGAATGGACCGCATTTTAGACCGAAATTCCTTCAAATAACAAAAATATGCTGTCTCAAGTATCAATAACAAAGGAGATGTCGGGGTCCCTCCATTCTCGTCAAAAGAGTGTATCATCGTTCGTCGTTTCAATCCCTGAAGACACAACTGGCAACGAGCAGATTTTAAAGTCATTAAACGAATTATACAGCCCTGTGCTGAAGTTGTTGAAGCTTTTCGGAGCGTACTATGGACAAACCAATTTAAAACACTTGGAATGCACGCCGACCAGTCGACAAGGAAGGAATATATGCTCGAAAATGTATTGTGGTCTGATGATATCCCTTTTATGTTTAAACTTCGTTATGGCTGTCTCCGGGATTTTTGCTTCAGGGGCAGTATTCGTGTTTTTGATGTTTACTCTTGGCAACCTTTTAATAGTTATTTGTGGAATAACCTCATTGATTGTTCTTCCTCTGGCTATTGGCAAAAAGTCACGGTTCCAACAATATCTTCTGAGCTTATTAGAAAACAGCAGAGGTATTAATTTAAATTCAGTGAAGAAAAAGTCGAGAAAAGGCTTCATAGTTCTCTGTTTACTTTATGTGGAAACTGTTACGTTTTCTATTGTTAGTGATCAGAAATTGAACTTTGGCCTTGCTTGTTGTAAGCCTTGGAATGAGTGGTATGGCTTTCGAGTGATTGCGCAGTTCTCTTTATTTACTGGGAGTGCTATTTGGTTACTTTCGATGTATTTCTTCTATCTAACCTGTAGAATCCTTCTAAAATGTTTTGATGGGCTTTATAAGAGAATGTCATCACTACCTCCGCTCTCAGCGAACTTTACATCTTTAAAAATGGAACATCACAGGTTATGCGAGGTGGTCGAACTTGCCGACAAGATGCTCGCTCCACTCCTTCTCGGAGTTGTGGCGTTATACATCCCAATGTTGTGCATCAGTTTTTACAACTCCGTCATTTTCCGAGAGGATATGAAGTTAATGGCCCTTGCTACCACTCTTTCCTGGTGTTTTGTTGCGGCAGGAATCTTAGCAACTGTCCTGTTCTTTGGATCTAAAGTCAACGAAAAGGTTTGTCAGGGGAAACATGTCTTTTATTGATTATCCTATTTGTGAAACATTTTGGATTTGAAGTTTTATCCTAATAGAGATGGTGGGTGTAGACCTTTCGTTTTTTGTGTTTTTTTATTATGCTCTTGTGCATGTACTTAAATTTCATAATTTAACATTTGTCTTTCAGATTCACAGTTTTCAGAGCATTTTGCAAACTATGCCCGTCTCTACAGCGGAGGAAGCTAAGGTAACTTCTATTTTTTTAACGCTTTTTTTCCAAAATACTTGCGCGAATCAAAGGCAACACTCTTGTGTACAGCCTTTCCAATCCTTTTCAAAACTCTCATCCTTCCTCTCCCATCTTTTCCAGGTATTGTTGTTTTTACTCGACCTTCAAGGAGAACCGAAGGGTTTATCAATTGGAGGACTGCTTGTCATAACCAAGTCCACGTCCTTAGCGGTAAGCTAATGCATTATCTTCATCATATCCAGTTTCCATTAGCTTATGATTGAGTTGTGATTTAATTTAACTGAACAACTAAACATTCTGTAAAATTTCACCGTACTAATCTACTTCTCATTTCAGATTGCTGGGGTAATAGTGTCCTACTTTGCAGTTCTCTTATCTTTACCGCGTTGACCTTTAAAGATATGACACTGTTTAGTTCTTTAGAAATGCAAAATACATTAAAAGATGTGTCGATTCTCAGACTTCCATCGAAAAGTAATCACAAGTACTGAAAATTTTGATCATGTTGAAGTAAAATTTAATTATTGTTTTGTTCCATGTGGGTGGAAACTATAACCTCCAGTGTAATTGCTATTTTGGAGCTCGTCCTTAAGTTATAATTTTTTCTGAAGAGGCACTTTTCCAATAACCGAAGGAAATTGTGATTAAAGAAAAAAGAACACACTTCCAAATTTAATAACTCTTACATTGTGTAGCGAATGATGTAAATATTTTAGATATCCCATGATAGGTTTAGTGAACACCATGTAGATAGTATTTCTGTTAGTAGAGAAAAAGTATTTTCAACACATTTAGCATTTTGGCGCTGTAATGAAAAGTTCTATTTTGCGTGATATTAGTAGCTGTGTCTCTAATGTAATGATATCAGTACTTTTTTCATAGGGGGCCAAGTAAGTCTTACTTGATAGAAGGCATTTCGTGAGAGAATTATTATAATCATTACGTTTTCATTAGTTTAAAATTGTAAACCTGCTAACTAAAAACCCATCTTGATTGAAACAGCTAATAAAATATCAATAAAATTCATTAAAAACTAGGAAAATGTGATGGGATTTTAGTTTTTAGTTTGATTTTAAGTTTATAATTTTATTGTTTTGGTTGTGAGATACTATGTCATACAAATAACAATTCTATCACAGTGGGACATAAAAAAATTCATAGATAATGTCAGGTTTCCCTCATTGATTTTTTTCTTGGCTCGTTTTCAGTGGAAATGAAGATCAAAAACCAGCATGTTTTCAGTGTCAAGATGTCCTTTGTCCAAAAATTGACTCACTTTACCAATAGTCTTTAAGTTAAAGCCTTGGGAGGGGAATTTTTTCACGAAAAGAGTTTAGGCACTGTTACTGTGGCTGCAAAAAAAAAAAAAATCAAAATTTAATTGTCATGACCACACGTTAGGATTACTTTCTCTCTACTGATCGCGTAAATCATTTACATACTAGAAGAGAGGAAACAATATCGATATGAATATAGAAAATTAATTACGAAATTGTAAAAGTTCAAAATCATACCCGAGTAAAAAGAGAAAACAAAAAACAAAAAGCAAAAAACAAAAATAAAGAGTCATACCATGCAGAGTTGGTACGAAATTTTAATTATCAACTTCATCATTTTCCTGAGAACTCATCAAACAAGTGCCTCACACCTCGTTAATTTCTGCTAATGCCCTTTCTTGATTGCATCCCAAAAGATCGAGGAGATCACAATAAACCTGATTGCTTCATTTGTTTGTCGGTCTATTTGTTATAATCAAAATGTTGTTACTATAAACCGTTAGACGAGCATGAAATTTCAGTCTTAAAGGTTAAAGGATAATGTATTGAAGTTTTAAAGCAACGTTACACAGACTAGAACTATGATAACCCTACTTTGCTTCACACTGCTTCAAGGGTTTTCGTCTATCTGTCGTTAACTCTTTTTGTGCCTCGCGCTTAATATTCAAAAAAATTTTCTCTTTATCTGAATTTGTAATAAGGTAGCGAAACGGGAAAAAAAGCTAAGTAAATGTTTGGAGAGAAAATACATTATTTATTTGCCTGCTAAAATTATTAGTTATGAGTCTCACTCCAAGCTTGAACAACTGGTAGCTTCTCAAACTCCATTATTTTGACAATGAATTACCAACACCTAGGCGTGGTTTTTTGTCTAGCTTCTCTCACCTTCTCATGATTTGAAATGTAATTAGTTTTTTTGTTTGATTTAAGACTGTTTTTTAATTAAAAAGAAATGTCATTTTGATCACAGTGGGTATTTTCCGATTTGAATATGAATACGGATCTCCCCAAATTCAAATTGAGCGACATCACTGGAAACAAATTTAAAAAACGATAGCTGAGAACTAAAGGTAATAATCAAGTTTCCTTGTAAACTAATTGAGAGTCAATCTTCTGATGATTATGCCTGCTAGAGTATCTCCAAACGAATGTACAGTGCCTTTAGATAACGGAATGTCCTCTTCCAATTCTGAGCAACAAGCTACCGTGAACGAAGTTTCAAACTTGACTGGTTCGCCTCCCGAGGCAAAAAAAGTGAACGAACATCTGTTTAAGGCAATCAGTGACATCTTCAGGCCTATACTCAAGCTGATGAAATTGTTTGGAATGTACTACGGGGATAACACTCTGAAATCTTTGACAGATGATTCTTGTCGTTTGTCGAGGAGAGCGTATGTTTCACTCATGTATTGTGGTCTGGTAGCTACTGGCCTTTGGTTCAATTTCTTTTTGGCTTTTCTCAGTTGCTTTTTTGTCCCTGAGAGGATCTATGTTTCTTTAATGTTCTGCTTATGGTGTCTTATGGGAGCACTGAATGCAACAATTACCCTGATTGTGTCACCAGTAACAAGAACAAGAAAATCACGTTTTCAGCACTTCGTTCGTGGTTTAATCGACAATAAGAGTCATGCTACGTTGGAAAAGGTAACAGTCAAATCAAGAAATGGCATAATTGCGTTTTTCCTTGTATTTGCTAGTGCTACTGTGGGATCGTTGATGACATATCTAAAGCTTGATATGAAACTTGCCGACTTTAAGCCTTTAAGCGAATCACCTGTCTTTGCCATAGTTTCCGTCATCTTTCTGATAATAGCTGTTGGTTCGTGGTTGCTTCCAGTACTCCTTTTCTGTATTACGTGTCTCATACTGGCGGAACTGTTTGATGATTTGAGTAAGCGGATGAAACAGCAGTCATTGCACTCAACAACAGTGCAACTAGCTTCTTTTAAGGTGGAGCATCACCAACTGTGCGAGGTTGTGGAACTGGCCGCTGCGATGTTTTCTCCTCTACTTCTCGGAATGGTGTCTCTATACATTCCTTTGATTTGCTTCAATTTGTACCTCGCTGTTCATTCACCTGGGAAAACTGAGGAAAAGAAATATTTGTTCATGGGAAATAACTTTTTCTGGCTCATTGCGTCAGTTTGTGTTTTAACAATTATCATGCTGTTTGGATCCAAAGTGAGCGAAGGGGTACGTGTACATTTTGAATCATTATTTGTTTTTTTTTTTATCCTATTTTCCTAGGATAATTTTATTATTCTTTTACATCCATCTCTTATTAAATGCAAAACATATGTTCCACTTAAAGTGCTTCCACCTTTTGAATTGATTACAATGTAGGGCCTGTTGACTTTGTTATTGTCTTGTATAGTTCTTATTTGTTTTTCTTTAATTTCAATATTTGATAATGTTATTTTTATTCCAATATGCTTCAGATTCACAGTTTTCAAAAGATTTTGCGAACAGTTCCTGTTTCAAAAGAAGACGAAGGAAAGGTAATTGCATATTTGCGCGATTAAGAGAAACTTTTCCTTTTCTTAACTTAGATTAATCTCCTCATATATTTTTATTGAAATAAATATTCGCAATGAAAGCCGCCCAGGAAAAATAAGCTGTAAAATAAATTCAAGAAATCTTTTTAAAGCTGGTGTCACAATGTGTTGTGCTCATGTAGAAGGCTCTTCGATCTACAAGAGAGCAAATTATTAGCTGCCATTTAGATAAAGTAAGTTTGGGAGTAGAAGCAGTTGTAAATACAGGTGACAGGCTGATTCAACATGGCCCCCTATCTCTTCACGGTATTATTATGTTTTCTAGCTCCTCTTCTCAGTCTAAAAACCATTAATTCTCCCTATAAATTTCGTCATCCACTTTTACTCCAGAGAGGGTGAACTGAAATGTTTTATTTCTCTTTCTATTATCTTTAAAATAATTATAGTAGTAATAATAATTACAATAACAATAATGAAGAATTTCTATAGCGCCAAATTGATCGGCTCATAGCGCTTTACAACACTTTGCGGGGGACCTTGGCCAGACTGCATTGAGCAGTTCACAATTTTTGAAGGAAATTTTTTGGAGATGCCTCCATTTTCAGAATTAAGGCCAGACCACAATACCAGGAGATGCGTTCCCTAATCTTTGCGAGAAATGCACGGGTTCTTAAATATGCCCTTCTAACCAGTGCGTATAAAATGCAGGAGACGGGGCCTACGGTTTTTCGTCCATCTTCGAGAAGACTAAAATAACTAACCATAGCGAAGACAGCACATTCTCCTTAGTCATTTTAGGACACTGAGTCGTTCGGCCTTAGGCTTGAGCCTTCGAACTCCCATACGGCAGTCCGGTGCTCCCTACGACATGAGCTAACCAGGCGGCGGTTTAAATAACAATAATAATAATAAAAAATGGTGACTTAGTTTTTCCTATGGATTCAAAAATTTATATTTATCGATTCTTATCTATTTTCAGTTGGTGATGTTTATGCTTGATCTTCAGGGAGACCCACAGGGTTTGTCAATTGGTGGTCTTGTGGTCATCACCAAGTCCTTGTCTTTGACGGTAGGTCTATTCCGCGAAAGGCAGCTTGATTTACGCGAAGAGTTACAATTTTGGTTAAAATCTGCTAATTTTGCAATTTATTACTATTTTAATTTTTTGACAGATCGCCGGAGTGATCATTTCTTACTTCGCTGTTATGTTGTCTCTGCCGAATTAACAGCAATCATGGAGCTACGTCAATAATACCACTGGTTTATCAGTCTGTAAACGGTTATGCGACTTAAGTTAATGTTTTTTAGAGATAGATTGGTATCCTCAGCTGTAGCTTATTATGTTAGGTAGTGTGTAGATGACTTATAGAACGAGACAGTACTCGGAAAATCAACGACACATTATTCGTCCTTGTCGAAGCTCTAAGGCTGAAACTGAGGGACAGTGCCCTAGATTGGACCAGCTGGATAAACAAAAAATCAGCAGCACTGTCAAAAATTTTGAGCCATAATTTCCTTAGCTGGGCAGAAAAAAAAAGTAAAGAAAGAAAGAAAGATGAAAAATGGAATTACCTGGTTTTATATTAGTGGTTTAAAGATGTACGCCGTAGACTATATAGGCGCATATTTTAATGGTTAATTGCCTGAAGGTATAGATAGGATAGAGCAACCAGCAAGTGCTCAATATAGATGGAACGGAAAGGAGAGAGTCCAGATTGTAAATTTGTGTAATTCGAATTGAAAGGAAGAAAGTCGTAACCGAAACTTTTATTCTAGTGGTCATATTACTCGTTTAAAAATATTTCCAAGTATGATTAGCTTTCCCGTTGTAAACGTAGTCTTTCTACTGAAAGGAGCAGTTATTTAGCTCTTCAAGGATGAGAGTATTTCGTAAAACAGTTTTTTTTACAGATAGGCTTTTTTTGACATGCGTTTAAGATATTAACTTTTCCTTTTATCCAAATTTTTTAAGGTGGCCAGTTTGTATTTAATGTAAATGCAAGAAGGGTTTGCAAGTATGCATATCTGATATCGAGAGTTATGCAAATAAATGCTGGTTCAATTGACATGCGCCTTTTCCTAATGCAAAAAATGTTGTTTCAACTTGAAAAAAGTGCAGATAAGTTCAGAACTCTTTTGTCCAATAAAGCCAGTCATTCGACTGATATTGCTAAAGAAGAGACTGTTTCTTTAACGATAACCAGTAAGATCGACTTAAGCTAGATTAATAATTCTAACATTAATATAGCATGGAATGATGTTTATGCAACCTGTCTAAGAACACAAAACTTCCTGTTTGGACATTTGAAAGAAATCGATAAATCTAATGCGAAAAAGGCTAAATTATTGAAAGGAATTTTGAACAAAGAAACAAGTAAGTTAGTGTCGTTTAGGAAAAGAAAAATCTAATTTGTGGGGGAAGTATGTACAATAACATACAAGCAAAGGAAATAAAAGCGGACAGCGTATTGACATTTAATTAAAACTTAAGTAAATAGTTGTGTTTTTTTCCCAGAGGAATAAAGTGCATTGGGTATTACGGGAAATATAAGTATGGAACAGTGCTTCTTCATCATTCATTGCATTTTATTCTACCTTTAATTTTATTTTTTCTTGTCATCTATCATTGCTATTTGGTGTCCACAAGAGAAAGGAGTTTAAAGAAAGTTCATCTTTATTAATACACTCATTTTCTGAACCAGGTGACTAAACATAAATGTTAATCCAGGTTTCTCGGGCAAATGAGTGATAGGTTTTCTTGTTATTGTCGGATATTGTTGCTCCTCAAAGCTGCTCCTCAAAGCAGTCAGAGTATTCTGAAAACAGCAATGGTTAATTTTGAGTACAACTCTTACCTCCTTGCTTTGACAATTGCAGACTTCATTTTAGCGACTCTTACCGTTCTTGGAAATCTTCTTCTTCTCACCACCATTAAATTAGATCCTGTGAGATGTCTTCGAACACCCGCCACCTATTTAATCGCAAACTTATCTCTAAGTGACTTATTTGTCGGACTTATTATTGGTTATGGCCGTGGCTTGGTTGGATGTTTCATGTATAAAGACGAGACCCAACCTTCTTGGATTAACTTAGCTATAAACGTCGCAGGAGGGGCATCCATTATCAACGGCATATGGACAGTTATTGCGATGGCGCTTGACCGTTACATAGCAGTTACCGATCCTTTCCATTACAACGAGCGAATAACAGGACGAAAAGTCCACACATACATCTTTGTTAGCTGGGTAATGGCCACGACGTTGACTGCGTTCTATCCTTTGGCAGGACAAATCTGGGCAGTCATTTTATTGGTGTTCTCCCACACACATTTCACAATTCCCGTGTTTGTCTTGCTGTTTGTTTATTGTCGAATTTTTTGCTCACTCTCCGCAAGAAGATACGAACTTCAACGTTTAACAACATCGCTCTCCACAATAACTCTACGGCATGCCCTTGAGAGAGAGCGGAAAATGGCGCTGACTTCGTTTGTCATTTTGAAGTTGTTCTGTGCTTCTTTTTTGCCCTTTTATATTAAGATTCAGCTGTTAAATTTCTGTAGTTGTCAGGATACTATGGCTTTCCGAAGGTTTGACTTAATAAGTCATACTTTCCTTTACTTATCTTCGTTTGCGAACCCTTTTATGTATGCTTGGCGGGTGCCAAAATTTCGACGATCGTTACAAGAGTGCCTTCACATTAAGAAAAGAAATAGTGTACGCCCCATAAACATCAACTAAGATGGCGAAGGGTAAAATAGTAAACAAAGGTACAAGGATATCAATTTCAGCGATTCCGCCACCATTGTGTCGAAAAGCACGAGCATTGACAACCTAACTCAGTCAATAAGCATTTTAATACATAAAAGTTTCCATTAAAGAGCTATTTCAGCCCGCATCTCAGGGACCATGCAGCTCCTTCGGGCCTTTTTCACTTCCATCGCGTGCGGCTCTCAGCCAGGTATTTGGATAGAAAAAATTTCAATAAAAGTGCGTTTTTCGCTAAAAGGGTTATGCGATAAAGCTTTCTTTTATTCCTTTTCAAAGAGTTGAAAGTTTAAGCTTTTAACTTTTGTAACTGTTGCTCGTAATAGTTGCTCATAATGATATGATCTGTGACTTTTGAAACTCTCCACGACTCACCAACAGCATTGAATAAATTAGCTTGGCTTTCATCAATATTACGATAAAACAAATTGGGACTAAAAGGAAAAAGAATTTGCATTTTCACGTTGTTTACATTTTTCTTAGCTCCAAAAAGATGATTTGTCTTACCATAGTTATAGAGAAAGTAGTTATATACACGTCTTCACTTATCGGCAAGTATGAAATAAGTCAGTTTAACTGCAGATTATAAATGGAAACGACTATATAAATATCCTGGAATAAGAGGAGTCTTATAATGTAAGGCTTAGAAAAAGCCATCTACAGTTTCTTTATTTACAGTTGGCATTTGAGGATCTATCCGTGACATAATAATTAAGGTTTACTAGGGATTCCATTGTTGGAGGTTAAAACTAAATTGAATTATATACGGAACAAGCGTACATTTGCATACACCAAAACTGTTATTCTCCTTAAAGGGTGATAGATTAGAGCGATAGCATACATCTCCATCAACTGCTTACAGCAGAATCAACAAAGTTTCCGACATAAGTCATTTAACTATTACAAGGAAGTTTTCACCAATAAATAACTTGAGCTATGCAGCAAGGGTATATGTACGACTAGGCTCTTTAATTACTTCAAGGTATGGGAACTACTGGTAAAGACATCACTGGTATAGCTTGATTAAATGTTCCTTTGATAATTCACAAGTGTTGACTCAAAACTCTTTAGAATTCCATGAATGATATGAAAACTAAAGCAAAAGAAACAGTAAGAGCAGAAAATGCATCCGCTTCATGTCTGGTCATGTCCTTCCTCTTCTTCAACTTGGCAATGTTATCAATACTGCGAAGTAGGAGATGATTATTCCTACGAGCTGCAAGGAGATGAAAGAAGGTGACTTTGGCTTAGATTTCAAGTAATTAAATGGATACAAATAAAATCAAAAGCAAAGAAATAACAACAAACGAGGTAAAATCGATGACATAACCGTGAAGAGAAACCAAGAGAAATACCGAGATAACCAGGGACTTGTCGATCACCACCAATCCACCAATGGACAATCCAATGGGCTCTCCCCGAAGATGCATCATGAAATGTAAAAGCTAAAAATAATAAATGGTTAAAAAAAAAAAAAAAGATAAATAAAATACCAATGAATCAAGAAGAAAATACCTCTCCGATTTTGCAATAAAATCTGGAGAACGTGACCACAGCCCTTCAAGCCAAAGTAAACGGGCTAAATTTAAATATTTCGCAGTGTTGATTTGCGAAGGGTAGCAAGGATTCTACCAATTTTACAGCACACGTCTACACGAGTTTGTCAGCTAACGGTTTCTTTTGTTCACAACTTAGTTGGCCTCTATCGGTTTGGTGACTCAAATGGCTCTCCTAAACATCAAATTTCTCCAAAACACTAAGAACTTCTTACCTCTAAGTGACGCTTGTTGTCAGGAACAGTGAAACTTTGTAAGATGTCATAAAAGCTGTGAATCTGCAGGGAAGAAGAAAGGATGAAGGTAGGTAATTATGATACTATTTCGACAGTGTTGAAATTAGGCCTTAAATAAATTCTTGTTTCCTTAGTTTACCTTCTTCACAATCCTCTCTATGGTGGCCTGTAATTTTCATTATAAACCACAGGATCATAGTCTAATCATAGGTTGGCAGGGCGCGCGTATTTACAAGAAAGAAGAGAAAGATAAAGATTGGAAAAAATTGAACATTGAAAAGCAACCATTTAGGCAAAAAAGGGATGTTCAGCAATGCATATTTGTAGCAAACTATCTCAAATAAATTTCGTATCATTTTGCCCAGGAGAGGGAGGAACAATCTGTCATCATTATTCGTGTCGTCATTCCTGTTTTAAGAAAGAAAAGGGACAGAAACGCACAAAAAAGAATAATTTGCATGTAAATATGATAGATTAGTTCACTCCTTCGACGTTTCCTGCTAGGATTTTTACAAAAGGAACATTTCTCGTATAGATTTAAGCTAGAATCAATTAATTTTAAGACATGCTGTGTCGTCTAGATTGACTGTTTTTACATGAAGCAATGTTAAATTTCTTGGAATCGTTAGTAAAGTTGTTTAACCTAGACATATATATATATATATATATATTTTTTTTTTTTTTTTTTTTTTTATTTTTATTTTTTTTATCAAGGAGGCAGAAATCTACGAAATTTTGCCATGAAATCCCTTGCGATACAGATTCAGCCTAGATGAAGCATTTTAACAGGCTCTTTTGTAAACAAACTGAGAACACATTAGAAATTGCCACCGGACAGATGTCGAAATCTTGACACAGACAAAAAACTCTGTCGCAAAGCTGTTTTAAGGTTGGAGCCCTGCTTAGTTTACTTGATAAGGATAAAAAAAAAAGTGTTGAAAACCAACGATGCAACAGGAAAAATCTTACCTTTTCGTTGACTCTAACTCCTGCCAAAAGGATAAAAGCTAACTTAACAACCACACAAACAGACCAGTACAAAAGTGAGACAAGATACGTAAAGTCTGAACTCGTAGATGCGTTCGATTTCACCAGCTGGTGAGAGTTGAAACACATCAAAGGAACATCTAAGCCCACTGCCGCCAAAAGAAGATGAGAAAAAACTTTATTTGCGAGATCAACCCGCACACAAAGTTTTCGATGTTCCTGCCGAATCCATCTGATATCGGAGGCATCAGGATCGCCTGCTTTTACTTTGGTCTCCAAATCCTCAAAAATTCCAAGCAGCAGATCGCAAGATACGTAAAACAACGAAAATGGCAGTGCCCATGAAAAGCAACTGCAGAAGATAAACGCAAAGAAGTTCAAGCGATAAACCAGAAATCCGTTCCAAGGACGAAAAGAGATTATCGAGCCATACATGAGGTCTAAAGAAATAACGAAGAGGGTGTTGAAAATAGCAAAGAAAGTGACGAAAGCCAATATCAAGTTCACCTTACATTTCTTTGACCTTCTTTCATTACTTTCTGCACTGCACAAGCTGCTTAAGAATTGCGAAAAACGGGATGACTCTGTTTGCCTGTTTGGGAAAACATATAGACATATTGTTGCAACTACTGCACATTGTAGAGCCCAGATGGAGAAGATCAACAGAAAATAAAATCTCTTCAAATCTGCAAAACCTTCAAAGAAAACAGTTGTAATGCACTGCACCACGACACCCCACTGACCAAGAGTTACAATTCCGCGGTACAGACGAGAAAAGAGGCGCGAACCAGTTGCGGGTATCTCGTTTAGCACCAAAACATCCTGAGAGCACTCTCCGGTTAATTTCATCAAATATATAATGGGTCGAAGCCTTGAAGCTATTTCTTTACGGCGAGGATGGTGATCTCCGGACGCATTTCTAGACTCGCTCAATCCAGTTTCGTTTTCTTGTGATTGTTCGGAAGGTACATCTTGAAGGTGAGAGTTATTTACATGCAGCATTGTTCGAGACGACAGAAAACGATGAGCCTATTTTTCAATAAAGTCGACGAACTAGTTGACTTTATACTAAAAGAAATGTAAGCTAGATGACTATTCTCAAAAAAGCTTGGACATCTAAGAATGCTTTCCTTTTTCTCCCTTTCTCTCACAAAAACACGACAATTTTAGTTTCATGTAGCACTTTGTTTAACTTATTATTTTTTTTTCAAATCCAACAGCTGCAAATCTACATTACTCATGTTTACATTAAAGCAGTGAGTCAATAGTGATTAAAAGGTTCTGTGTCTTGATTCACTCGGAATGAGCAGTATGATCCATTTCTTCTGTCAATTAAACCAGCTATTTATTCTGCAACTTTTCTTTAAGTACTAATTACGGAGCACCAATCAACCATTCAGAGCTATCTTCTTTCAAACGTCCACCACATCTCCTCACAACAAGACGTTCATTTCGCAAAGGACAAATTGCATTTCAGAAGCACCATTAAATAATGCTATCTTCCACGGGAGATAATTCATGAAAATTTTAAGAAGGCAATGTGCTTGGGCGCCTTATTGATTTCGCATCATATGAGGCCTTAACAAACCTCCGGGTGAAGTGATTTACTAAAGGCAAAACATTTCAAAAATTTTAATAATCTTTGTGGCGTGGTAAATCCCATTAATTTTGGTTACTACCTTAAAGTTTAGGTCATGCTGAGACCTCCAGTTCAAGTTGATTTCATTTTCACAAAAATTTACATTTTATTCTTAACGAGACTTCTGGTTCAGATGATAATACCGTTGTAACTGAGAATTGAAAGCTAACTGTGGGGCACCCAGATCGGGCTCATAAGTAAGAAAAAAACTAAAGTGGATAAAGGTGAAAGATCGGTCGTTTTGAGATGAATCATCAAGCTACCCTTAGAAGCTGGTCTAAGCCAGCTTTTTGTTTATTTGTTAGTTATTGAACGTAAGACCTTTTTTTTTGTATCTGTTAATTTTACATGACTCACTTTTTGATTATTTACTCTTCACGTAACTAAGCGCTTTTTGCATGTGTCTTTGGAAATTGCTTGGAAACATTTTTGCTGCATTTTTGCATGTTGCACTTAGTGGCAATTGAACAAAACTGTGATATTATAATGAAGTCTTGAATCACTGTTGAGAAAAACCCAAACATTTCAAGGAATGATCAACCCACTAAAATTAGCTTCGATCCTTGCACGTTAAGCTCCTTAGCTTAACTGGTAGTAACTAACAGGCACAGGTAAAAATAAAGGAATGATATCTGTTTCATCGACTTCCCTAGAGTAATATGGCAGCCGCAGCATACTTATTTTTTTAGTATCTTACGGCGTATGCTGAATTAAATATATGTAAACTAAATAAATATGGTCAACACAGTGTAAATGAGTGAAAGCTTGATGATACGGTTGTTGTAACTAAAAATCGTTCTCATTTGCTTCAAGTGAACCAGGGATAGCATCAAAGTTTCTAAATGCAATTGCAGTATTCTGATATTGCAAAATTTCAATGGATATCATTGCCAGTTGCGGCAAGTGTAAAAAGATAGTTCGAAGCAGTGTGATTGTTGCTATCATGGTGCTTAAAAAATCAGTATCAGGGAAGGATATTGGCGTTGCTACTCTTCAGTATGTTTATTCTTTGGTTATGCAGTCGAAAGAGAAGGCATTTGGGAAGCAATAGAAATATTAAAAAAAATTACCTCGATTGTGATTGGTTAAAAAAACTTCTCTTTTCAAGCAATTCACCTGCCAAGTTGTACTCGAACAGTTTTTTTTATCAATTTTTTATAAACTATCATTATCATTATCATTATTAAAATAATTATTATTATTATTACCTCAGGGTAAGATCATTACAAAAGAAAGCCAGTCTAGCTCAATGTGGTTGCCATAGATTCGCAAGCTTGAAGGCCAAGTTCTTCAGCCTATTTCTTCACTCCATGTACACACCTTTATCAATGATGCCTTGGCAAACTGCTCGAGAGGTGTTCTGACTTGATATCTTCTTAACAGTAAGCAGATAGCAAATACACCCCCTTTTGAAAAAGGACAAACATTTTGAAATTCTCAGTTTTTCTCCCTCTGTAGATTCATAACTTTTGCAACATCTTACAATATGTCAAAGTCTCCGATACCAAAGAGCATTTGGAGGTAGGTTGTCACCTTTCGTCTGTCTATTACCTACAGAGAGGAGTACTGTATTATCAAGAGTGTTGGGATGATTTGAAAGGGGAATCAATCATGAGATCTTCTTGTCTGAGATCACAAGTTCCTGTCTGCCTTACTCAGAAGTCTTCTGCGAATTCAAAACTTATCTGAACAGGCACACCTTCTCTGCATAACAAGATTTGCTTTTCATGAATAGCCACATAAGTTAAAAGGTATAGCTAGTTAGACGATATCTATTAAGACGTAGGCTGCAGGGTTAGGCTGAGGACTTACAGACCAATCTCAGTACCTGAGCAAGTGCCCACTTACCCCTCCCCTAACTCAACGACAGTCAGATGATGAGAAGTTAGGTTATATGTTCGGTTAAGGGAAGGGAAGGTCAGCAGTTGTTAAGTACTCGCATTGATATGGACTTTCGCTTCAGATCGTCCTGAAAGGAGGCACAGCATATCTGATTAACACCACAAGCTAATTTCACACTTGAGGTAGGCCGCTAAGGGAATAGTTAGGTCGAATGCCATGCCAAAATCTTCCAGTTAAAGTTTTTCCAAGGATTTCCATTACGTGCACAGTCGTTTTTTAGTTCTACGAAGCTGGTCAGCTCATCTTTTAAACACCACAAGCTAGTTTCATCTTCGCAAGAATACCACGCTAAACTTTTACAAGCAAAGTTGTTTTTCAGTTCCACGAAACTGGTGAGCACAAACCAAACAAAATACGCTGGAGGAGTAGTTTTGCTGATTGCGTATCAGTTTAATTCCTTTCTGTGGAATATTTTCGCTATAAGAGAAAAGTTACAGGTACGGTAACGTATAATTTTAAATCGACAAGGACGTTAACTTCAATGAAATGTTAAAGCGTTTCCCTTGTCTAAGGATATTTTAAATGTTTCATTGTTTTATATTACAGATAAGATGAATGGATATTTAGTTATTTTCCATTTTAACATCTGAGCGGTTAATGCTTCTCCTTAAATACGCAGAAATTCGCATGGAGTTACTTTCACATTCACTTTTCTTCATTATACACGTTGAATGAACAGCTGTTTTCGTATTTTTATCTCTACCTGAATGAGCAGTTTAACATGAAGGGGACGTTATTTTGACAACATAAGACCGTTTGGTTCGAAAACAGTCAGACATTCGCGGAAAAAAAAAGGTTGGCATTAGTTGAACTTCTCCTCTACTTCTCTGCTGCTACATATTTGAGATTCATAACATTTTACATGTGATTTACTTAGGTATGATTTAAATTAAAATTTTTTTTCTAATGCCCCATTCACACCAAAGCTTAAACATGTTTAAAAGTTGTTTTGTTAAACACAGTTTAATTTTTTTTTTCTTCATAGAAACTATTTAACCGAATATTTTTGACTTGAATGTAGCACATTGGAAATACAAGTTAGCAAGTACTTGAACAATGGAAAATCAAGTTTTTCAGTTCTCTGTTTATAATTTTCATTCAATGAAAACCAGTTTAACAAAACATGTTTTGCTGGTGTGAATGGGGTATAAGACTAGAAAAATTGCACTAACCCGTAGGGCGAGTGCAATTTGTGGTCTTTGAAAATGATTACAAATGCTTAATTATTCTAAGTTGTACGAGAAAAATTATGTGATTACGTATCAATGATAAACATGATAAAATAAGAGATAGCTTATCATAATTATGCAGAAGCAAAGCCCGCGCATCGAGTGAAAAAATAATTTATTCAAACCCTGCAAGTGACATTTGTGCGTGCGGTCAAAACAACAGCGTACGATCAAAACAATAATCTACAATTATATTTTTACATCTTAAAGGCGCAAAAAAGTTCATAGTCCGGCTAAACAGCTCAAGGAATTGTTCAACCTGGTTTGTTACTTCTTTGCACCGAATTAACCCTCTTCTGCACTGAATTACCTGAAAAATACATTCACCTTAACCAATTAGAACTGAGTAATTTTTTCATGTATCTTATTAAGATGATAACAGGGTCCCTAGTTAGTTAGAGGGTACTAAATAAAAGCAAATGTAAAGAAATTTTTTATGTTTATCATCATAGCAAAAATAATTCCTAATATCAGATGTGTGTGATGCTACTGGTTTAAGTCCCTCTAAATCAAGATCGTTTAAAGCAACAATTTTTCATTGCAATAAATAATGAAAGTAGGCGTAGTGATAAAAGTATTGTACAGCTGTAAGTAACGTATTGCATGCCATGTAAATGTACATTATATTGAGATATACTTAAACCAACCATAGGCCAGTTATTTAGAAAAACTTTCGCCATTGCTAAGTTAAAACCGAGTTCGAGACCATCTTAAATTTAGCCAAACGCTTGACTGTTGTGTAGATAGCTTCTTGCTAACGCAGGAAAGTCACTTAATCACCTAAAATAATTCACTGATAAAGAAATCTGGAAATCCATTTATTTCTTCAGAACCACACAGGATTTAGACTATGTTTATCTACTTCGTCAACGATCTTAAACAAAAGTACTGCTCGGGGCAACAGTATGTTTAGTCCTATGTGGCACTTGGGGTTACAATTCTCATAATCTCCTCCCTCTCCTTGTTTTTTACTATGGCTAGTCTAACGGAATGTAAAATAGCCAAAAATGGTTTCCGCCAGAGATTGGTACAAAACGCATATGTTACAGTACGTTGTATTTAACTGGTCATTTCAAAATTACTAGTTGCGTATAATTCGTAATGACCATATTTCAAGGTTTGCATATGATGATCTTCTTTACGAATACATATACTTAACTCAATCGCTTCATAGGACAACCGGGTACTGAGATATTCAGGGTCGTTCGGCATAAGTCACTTAACACCGTTGAGACTGTAGAGCGCATGCGTGAGTCCGAATTTTTGGACGTATAAGTCCTTTGAAACATCATAAGAAAAGCATATGAAAACAGAGTAAAGAGGGAATGATATCTTACATATGCCCCATGAAATTTCCAATTGAAATAAGTTCGGAAATCGTATGAAGCGAGAGCCCAGAATTAACCACTGCCAGAGCTCGAGCACAAGCAGATATGACTCAGCTGAATTATCAATTTAACTCGTGCATATATGTCTGTAGTCGCATTTAATTTATATTTAAATGTAGTATTGTGCGTTTAACATTTTGATATTGGTAACATTCAACACCGTCTTCCTTTTATCTTAAAGTTTCAGTGTATCATTATGTAACAAAGAAGTGTAAATAAATTTTCCACTACACTAATATTGCGCATGGTTTCAATTGTTACCAACTATACTTCTTCGTTAGCTTCCGGTAGTTCTTGAAAATATTCCGTACTTTCGAAAAATGTTATACACTTAAATAGAAGGTGCATTGAACAAAGTTAAACCTAAGTTTTATGCATACATTTCGTTGCTTTCCATATTTTACTGATATCTCCAAGCTGATTCAGGTAAATCTTGCAGAGATCTTGTCTTCTGACCTTTCCATCTCAACCATACAATACCAATGACGACACAAACGATGGACTCTACGTAATAGCCGTCAACCACAGTTTGGCAAACGCCTCCAGCATTCGTACAATCCTACAAAAAGAGGAGGAACAAAACAAAACACTCAATACCACACTTATATTTGTTTGCTGTTCATTGTGTAAGAGGTCAGCAACTTCTCAAAGGTGGCTAGAGGCTGAAGTATAAATTTGTGTCATGTGTCGCTCATAAACAACTATACATCTCAGATTGGAATTATTTAAACAATCATGGGAGACCACACTTGCTCGTTTTTCAGAGAGTGATGCTGATAACTGTATGTCTGGAAAAGTAAAACTGGTTATCCCCAGTTGCTACATGCACCGCAAAGTATCTCAAACTTTTCGGTAGAAAATGCGATATCATAAAATGTATCTAATAGAGAAATATTCGCGGGATGTTTCCCCACACCTTTGCATTTGTCTTGCCGCTGCAGTGGAGTCCCGGTACAGAAGCACCAATACAGTTTGTCCAGGTAAGCCCATCCACCAACCACAGTGCCAGAGTCTGGCACCAGTTTCCTCCCAGGTTCGTCACCGTGTTAAGAAGTGTTAGGTACGTCCCTCCAACCCGCGGGTCGCTGATGCGGGCGTGGAAAGCCATGAAGGCCACAAACATGCAATACAGGGACACCTGTTGGCAGTCCACGAGGAAAAGGACGAGAGCTCAGAATAGGAGACTAAGGCTCATCAGAGATACAGCGTAATTTATTATTATCAACTGAGTTGATAACGTCACGTAAACCGGCCTCCGTTACGAGTTTGAAAACTGACGTTTCGATCGCTAGCGCTTTGTCAGAACAATTGATGAAGGGTGAACGATCGAAACGTCAGCTTTCAAACTCTTAAGGGTGGTCAATTTACGTTATCAACTCTATTGTTAATACTTAATTACCCCGCTATACTCTCCCAACGACGGAGCACCACAGTTTCTTTAAAAACTTACTCCCCTCATCAGAGATAAGTGACATAACGACGTCAATATTTCAACGCAATCACGCGACAAGGAGATATATAAATAAAGAAGGTACATGTAAGTTTCTGCAGAAACTGTGGTGCTGCATCAGTGAAGGGAGGGGGGGGGGAGGGGGGTTATTAAAAGACAACTGAGATGATGATGTAAAGTGGCAACCGTCAAGAGTATCTAAAGATAATGTTTCGAGCGTTAGCCCTTTGCCAGAGCGAATGGGCTAACAAAAGTTGACATTAAGGCCCGAAACGTCAGCTTTATGAAGTATTTGCAGTGGCTACATGTAATTCAGTTAATAAAACGAAATCAACTTGATATACCGAGATAGTTTGCATGTTTGCTGTCAAACAAGCAACTTAAACAGCATACACCTGTATACACGAGACTTTGAATCCCCTCGTAGTAAGAACATATGTTGAAAGAGCCTAATGTAAGTTCCAACTTGTGTGGATGAGTAGCTTCATCCACTTCTCGCCCAAAGGAAAAAAAAAATTCTCTATAACACCAGTACTCAAAGAAACATTTAAAAATGTTTTATCACCCGCACTTGCTCCATGGAAAAATCCTGTGTAGTACACGAAGTACCTCCAATGATGGCCCCTTTTTCTTTAGAGTGCATCATAAATGATCAAAGGTTTCTTGAAACTATTCAAGAAAATTCATGAAAACAAACAGTAATGAAAAGTACCTGATGGATTGCATACACCAGCAGAATTGTTAAGTAAAAGTATAACGGAAAGAATTCCTCCCCAGGCCCACGCACAACATTGGCCCACCAGACACACATCATGATGACCACACCCATAAACAGTCTATAAGGAAAGGCCTTAAGACCCAAATCAAGAGGACGTGGACCTGTGAAGAGAAACAGAGATTCTCACAAAAGAAAGAACACAACAATTTCAGACCCCACCTGCCCCCTCCCCCCCTCCTCCATCAGAATGAACCATTAACCCTTCACACTCTTACATCAGAATGCATATTCTCCATACTGTTCTCTTTGTATTTCCTAAGATGCTGACAAGGAGAATTTGTTTAACAACCTAGAGCCTTTTTAGTTGGTGATCATTTCCTTCATTGTTGGGACATTAAAAAGCGATTTAAGGGTAACATTGTAAGGAGAATTTAGATGCTCGTCACTCTTATGGGGCATGTTTTCCTTTAGTTTTCATATCAGCTGTTACTAATTTTGAGATCTCCCTCAATACAATGAAAACTGTTTACAATTAAACTGTTATTACTTAATTGATATGTATGCATTCATCTCAAAATAATCAAATTAATAAACATCAAGTATCATGCATTTATGAACATTCCTATAAGTATTGTCATCTGCACATTTTTTTGAAGAGTCACATTCATATTTACCAACCTGCTGTATATCTGCTGATATAAAGTGGCAATAAAATCTGTATTGGAACCATGGGGATAGCAAGAAGAGCTAGATTCTCTTTGGGAACTCCAGCTTCAATCAGCTTGAGGCCAGTCACAGAGTCAGCTGCAGAGAAGCCAACCTGAATGTCAAGAATTTGCACATGAATTTAAGTCAAGTATTTTCCCAGTACATAGAATCTACTAATGTATTCCACATCCTAAAACATGAGAAACCACAGGGCTTTTATATAATGGGCACCCTAAAATAATATTATATTCACAGTTTCAAGGTAGAAGAGTAACTGACCATTGGCAGAGTAGAAATGTTGGTGGAGATAAAATGTTATTGTAACTTACTTATGCATGTATGTATTAAGCAAAATTAGTCTGATAAAAAAACAAACTGAAAATTGAGCAATTACAAAAGACAAAAGAAGAATAAACACAGATACAGCACAAATATAAAGAAGATGAATACAAGAATAGCCCTTATCAGAATGTATCCACTTCTACCCCAAATTTCATTGTGAAACAAAAAAAAATAAATAGAGTGGTGCTTTCTATTTTTCTGGGAAAAAAAAAATGAATAGAACAGTATCAATTTTTATTTTATAAATGTACTTTGTAACCATAAAGTATGCAAAACAATACATCTGTCATTAGATACTAAAAAATCAAAGAAAAAGAAAACATTTTCCAGTGCACTGTGGGGTTCCATTGTAAGAGAAAGTGCAGGCTTGTCTTTAGAAAATGTATGATCTGAACTAAACACTAGAAGGCTCAATTGAGTTAGATTATGCAAGCAATGTGTTTTGCAAGTTCTAGGGAGATCCAGGGGCATGCTATCCCCACGAAATATGAAAATCAAAACTCTCTTAGCCATGTTTTCTAGCATTCTGGGACATATTTGAGTAACACTTTTTTGGCAGACATTGATGTTAAAAATAGTTCAAAAATATATTTCTTTTCTGTCACAATTCACAAAGTAAAAATGGTCTGACAGCCAGCAGGTTTGTGCCGACAACTGGCTTCTAATGATATGATAACCCTGAAACACGAATACCAAGAGTGACTAGCTCCTAAATTCTGCATGTAATATTATGCCTGAATCACACATTAAGGTCATGGGAATTTAGTACATTATCACCAACTATACAGGCTCAGGATTGTTTAACACATTCTCCTTGTCAGCACCTTAGGAATTGCCTGAAGAATGATATGGAGAATGTACATACTGATGTTAAGGTGTTAGTGGATAATAAATCTTACCTTAAATGTTAGCAAGATAACGATCAATTTCAAAATACTGGGACAGCGCAAAATTTTGCCCAATGTTTTATACCCATCAACTACTCCTTCCACAGACTCTTCTCCATGGAGCTCTTGTTCTGACTTTTCCCGTTTCAGCAACCCAACTAGTGTTGTGGTGATTAAAAAAACAATTCCCCAGAAGTAAAAAAATCCTGAAAAGGTGACAACTCCATCTGATGATGGTTGTGATCGAAGATATCTGTTACTGAAGTCAGCAGAGCTAAGAGCTAAGAATACAACATTCCCCATAAAGAATCCTGCTGTTTGGCCAACTGTGTTGCAAGTTGATGCCCAGCCAACATTTTCCCTGGACAACATTGTCAGTGCCCAACCATCCACGGCAATATCTTGAGTTGCAGCAAGGAAATTCAAACAAAAGAAAATCCCTGTTAAAAAGATGATACTTGGCCCTTCTTCACTACTTTCACCCAACAGTTCATTTATGTGCTGAAAAAAAACAAATATTGAAGTTTTTGTGGGCAAATAGTATAAGAGAGAAGGTATATTTTAAACTTGGTATTATGAAATAAAGAAAGATGTTAGAGAGATTCCACTACAACTCCATACTATACTAAAACAAAGCTGTACTCCTAAGGGGAATGTATTGTTTATGCCATAGTTTATTTCATTCACGAACTGTATGCATAATGATGTATGAAGGTTAATGGAAATCTCGCCCAGATGTTTTTCGTTTTGAAATGAGCATGAGACAAGTAAAAAACTCTGGTTCCCCATGAGGAACTGAACCTGTAATCTGAGCAACAGAAAACTCTGTGGTGAGCCAGGTTATTGATTTCTAGATTCATATGTGACATTCATCCTGAATAATGCTAGGATCAGCTAATAAGTAAATCTCAAATTCGGTGATAAGACAGAGAAAGACAAATTCCTTAAGCACAGCAAGACACCATCCCCAGGATTGGGCGAGGAGATCTTCTGGTTTCATTCCAAATTTAATTATCTTTAAGAAGAACAATCAACAAGCAAAGTTTGAAACAAATTTCTGTACAGGTTGTATCATCAGCAGAATGACTAGGCATTTAATTAATAATTACCCGCATGAACGCGCGTCCAATCATAAGAAACTTACCTTTGAAAGTACGAGCATAAAAATTCCTAACAAATATTGCACAGGAACAAGCCATGATTTCCTTCGGCCAAATCGCGAAAAGTAAAGAGTGTCTACGATAGGCGCCCACAACAACTTCATGCTAAAAGGCCAAAATACGAAACTAAACGTTGCCTGATCTTTGTACGCGACTTTTCGTGTTTGAAGCAACATCGGCATAGCGCCGGCCAGCCCTAGAGGGATTCCTTGAAGAACATACAGAAACGTAAGAACGGCTATATTCCCTCTGTCTCCCTTAAGGCTTGCCTGATGAGTTTTCATGTTTTTCTCGCCAGCTGTCTTTTTGTCCACACCGTTTGTCGTTGAGCGAAAGTCTACATGGCTGTTGTTTCGTTCAAGTTCTTCCTCGTTTGTTGAAGAACTAACGCTTCTTTTAGCAGCATCAGCGGATCGAGATCTGGTCATCATATTTGAAGTCTTTCATGTAGTTGGTTTAGCAATATCCCTTGTTGAACTGTTCTTATCTGTATTTAGAAATTATCATATGTACAAAAGAAACTTTGAAGCACCAGTAACCAAACGTGGCGAGTTCACAGACGAAGATGAAACTAAGTGTATCATAAATGATGCATGTGACAAATGGAAAGGTATCCGCTGTACTTCAGGTCATTATCGTGCTCAGTCTCTCCAGGAAGTTTTCTCAGCTGAAAAGCTTGAGGCGAATAAGCAATTTTCGGAGTCCGTGGATAACAGGTGAGCTAGTCTGAAACACTTGTTACCAAGGATTTGCATCTTTGTCAAAAGTAGTGGCTAATAAAAAGGACACTCGTTATTAAAGTAAGGTTTGTGTCCAAAAAGTCTGAAATCTTCCTTTCCCTAAATTCTTTTCCTTTTGCAGATTTCGATGAACTGTTTTATCTCTTTTTTCTTTTTTTTGAAAATGTGCGTGACAATGATCTTTCTCATGTTTTCCCACTCGATTCGCTCGTAATTAACCACTTACATGCGGATTTAATTAGTATCAAATTAACGCATACAAGTGGTCATTTGATACTAATTAAATCCACATGTAAGCGGTTAATTACGAGTGAATCGGGTGGTTTTCCTTTGAAATTTTCCGTGGGAGATTGGGACGTGACCGGCCAAAACTGATCTTCGTGCGCAATCGCTATAACTATAGGACGCATGACTAGTGCCAGTCTTTATGCGTGTGCCTCAAGCGCACGCTTCACACTCTGTGTGACGTCATAAAGAACTATACCATATGAGAGAAGTGTGAGGGAAGATGCAAACGAGACGCCATTTCGACTCAGACTCCCCATCTGACAATATCAGCAAGTTCAAAGTGGTTGTTTTGGGTGATCAAGGTGTGGGAAAGTCAGCCTTGGTGTGGAAGTTCGTTTACAAAGGATACGAAGACAAATATCTGCCAACCATTGGAATAGATTTTTTCACGAAGACATGCTATCTAGGTGAACAGATTTTAATAGTGTAAATATTAATTTTGATTTGAGTACTTCCAAGGGCTGAACTTAATAAATTTTCTGTAAAAGTGGATTCATTTACATGATAAGCTAGGAGCGGCCCTCTGTAGTCCAAAGTAAGCATATTATTTTCGTAAAGACAGAAGCTTGTTTCATGCGATATTTTCGTTGCAGATTTAAGACCGCTACTTTCGAAGAGGGACGAACAGGAGAGTGGGTTGCGTAGGAGGAGAGGGGGAGGGGAGTTGTTAATTTTGTGACGCTCGCTTCTTTATTAACTGTATTGGTTCCAACACTAAAAGAATTCCCATTAGAAACAAACTCTTCAACCTTCTGCTTTATTTCAATAATGAAGACGAACCGGGCGAGGGAAGGAAAGGCCAGCACTAATTTTTTTTGCCCAGATGTGTATACAGCCGAAAAGACACACTTGTCAAATATCTGCGCACGTGCAAACTTTGAAATGTAATGTATATGCTTCCTGTCTCTAGGAAGTCAGAACCTATTCATCTCACCAGAATTTTAAACAGCCACACAAGACAGTAGCTCTCGGTATATGTCAAAAGCAAACAATAGCAAATTTTTGTAATATCTTGGCTAGAAAATAACATTTTGGACACCTTGAGCCATTACAATGGTAAAAGTTATTTCTCGAAATTTCAGATGGAATTGCTGTCCGTCTGCAAATCTGGGATACCGCTGGCCAAGAGCGTTTTCGTTGTCTCATACCTTCTTATCTCCGTGACTGTCATGTGATCTTGGTCTGTTTTGATGTGACGAATTGCGGCTCATTGGACAATGTGCCCGATTGGATTGAGCTGGCACTGAAAGAAAAATGTGGTCAAACAAAGGATTCGTTGATTGTTCTGGTGGGAAATAAAGTGGATGACAAAACTAATCGGCAGGTAGGTTCTATTCAAAATTTTACCACGATTTTGCATCAGAGGAGGAATTGAGCATGAGATTTCACGTAGAAAGGCAATGGATTGATAGTAATAATAATAATAATAATAATAATAATAATAATAATAACAAAAATAGTGATGATAATAATAATATCAATAACACAATAGAGTTTTTGTTTGCGGTCATAATTGTGTTTTAGGCTAAATTTTTAATGCTAAGTTTAATGCTAAGTTTAAATGATTCTGAAAAAGAGCCCAAAAAATATTTGTGGCTAAGGACGTAAATCGTATTGCAAGTATTATCACTTTGAAAGGCATAGAGGAACAAAAATTAAAAAAAAAAAAGAGAAAGCCAAAAAACTAGTCTCGAGAATCACGTAAACGTGCGAGTGTATGGCCCGCCAAAATCTCCATTTTAGCCTGAAAAATACGCTTCAATGTCCCTCATAGTGATAACAATAACAAATAAACAAAATTCTGAAAAGTAAAATCGTTTATTTCTTTTACTTAATTTGTATTTAATCATACAGAAGGATGAATTTCGTTATCCGACTCATTAAAATCGTAGTAAAGACCAGTGTAAAAAGTTAGGCTTCTCTTTTGAAATCAGCGCCTTACGCTATAAAATTCTCTTTCACAGATTTCTTACGACTGTGCCAGTTCTGTAGCGGAATTATTTCGTGTGCCCTATGTGGAGACTAGTGCTCTTACCGGATATAATGTAGAGCTGTTGTTCAGGAAGATAGCAAAAGAAATGTTGGTCAAAGAACTGGAAAGGCGAAGACGAAATAGAGTGCATGGAGAACGTGATCTGCAGGTGGATATTGTCGAGGAAAGGGTGGATAAGTATGTCATAAATCTTCAAACTACAGAAGAGCAGAAGACAGCTATTCCGAAGAAACGTCGACGATCGTGCAAATGTAGTTGAAGATTTGTCAATTGCTGTACAATACAGAGTATTTTATCTCTTTTGCGTCAATAAAGACTATATTTCTCAAAGATTTGATGGGATCCATTGGTTATTTTTATCGATTGTTTGTATTCGCTCCCTAATCCTGCCCGCAAGGCATTAAGGGACCTCTAGGAACGAGATTGGACCATGAACTTGCTAGAAATAACGAAAATTCCCGAATGCGATTTACAACGCACATTTCAGTTGAAAAAAGTCTTCCAAAAAACATTTTTTTGCTTGAAATTGTATCGTGAAACGTCTCCCTAATTAAGTCCCAAAATCGCTCCCAATTTTGTCACAAAATCGAAGAGTGCCCAAGAGTACTACAAGTGTATGGTCCACTACAGTGCATTTTCGACCTAGTTTTGAACACTCTTAGCTTTTGTTATGACTATAACAAAAGAGTGGGCAGAATTAGTTTAATAGGATCTTTATGCTTAGGTCACCTTTGGAAGGTGTTTATTTGACAGGAGTTTAACTGGAATTACACAATTAGAGTGTTATCTCCACCAATTTTAAGAGCTGAGTTTATAAGTAATATGCAGACAAAATTAGAAGTTCTTTTTAGCGCCAAAGAACTTTTTTTGTCTGGCAGTAGAACTGTTTCTAACAGGTCTCATAGAGAATTCTCCTGTCTGCCATGTATAATTCTTATCATGTTCTGATAATTTGGTATTGGATGAACTAATAAATGATATTCTCATCACTTTTTTTTCATGTTATTGTAATCGCTATTATTGTAATAGCATTTTAACAGGGAATTCTTTCTTAGTCGCTGGCGGTCGATTCGGGTGTCCTGTGGACATCTCATGTGCATTGTTCTGTGCCCTGTGCACAGCGAAACTTTTATTCAGCAGAGAACTGGGACGGAATATAGAGCGCCTGGCGAAAAGATGCTCGAAAGAAAACACATCGGGGCAGCAAATAACATATAGTGAATTACTTCTTTCACACCAGATCAACGTTAATTCAGTGTATTTGGGGAAAAGGTATGGATTCAAAATCTGGGAATACAAATGATGAATCATCTGCCCAACAATCCTCGATCGATGATACAGCGTCAACAACTCACATGGAAAAATTAAAAAAGCGAATTGTTTCAGCAGGACTCGTTTTACCTCCAAGCCGATTTTTCGGACGGGTTTTGACACGAGGGCTCATAGTTGTTTTGATTTGGGCAGTGCTATGGTCCATTATTGGTGCCGATGCTTTACCTGGTGGAAATATTTTCGGGATATTTATAGTGATCGTTGCGGCAAGTTTGTGTGGATTCGTCGTTAATAAAATTCCCTATCTTCACCTTCCTCCCTTGCTGGGCATGCTCGCGGCAGGATTTCTTCTGCGAAACGTGCGCGGTATAGACATGGCTCGCCACATCGACAAACGCTGGTCCTCTACCTTACGAAGTATGGCTTTAGTTGTGATACTTGTTCGTTCAGGACTCGGGTTAAACACAGCTGCATTGAGAAGACTGAAGTTTACTCTAGCTAGATTAGCATTTCTCCCTTGTATACTAGAAGCTGTTATGGCTGCCGTACTCGTGCATCTTCTCTTAGACATGAAATGGCTTTGGGCTTTTCAACTTGGGTATGTACATGCCTTTAATTCTCTTGCTAAAGAATTACAAAGTCGATTAGTTCACCTACTCACACCAACTCCTTATCAACTCCCCCTCCCATTTTTAAAGCTCCACTTTTCTTCCATGTCCTTCCATTAAGTTTTGTGTCATGCTAACCAACCCTAGTGAAAATCTTTCAAAGATCTTTAAGGATCTTACAGGATCTTCATGAGGACCTTCGAAGATCTTCACATGGATCTTTGGAAGATCTCTGAAGATCTTCAAAATTCTTGTTAAGATCTTCAAGGATCCTTCATTTTTTTGCCAAGATCTTCAAGGATCTTTCATTTTCTTGCCAAGATCTTCAAGGATCCTTGATTTTCTTGCCAAAATCTTCAAGGATCTTTCATTTTCTTGCTAAGATCTTCGAGGATCTTTCATTTTCTCTCCAAGATCTTCAAGGATCTTCAAAGGTCTTGGCAAGATCTTTAAGGATCTTTCATTTTCTTGCTAAGATCTTGAAGGATTTTTCGTTTTCCTGTCAAGATCCTTGAAGATCTTTTCTGGATCTTCAAAGATCTTTACAAGAACTTTGAAGATTCTATAAAGATCTTTGAAAATTCTTTGAGGATCTTCTGAATTCTTGTTAAGATCTTTGAGGATCTCTCATTTTCTGCCAAGATCTTCAAGGATCTTTTACTTTCCTGCCAAGATCCTGAATCTTGGCAAGAAAGTTAAAAATCTTGGAAAGAAAATAAAAGACCCTTAAAGATCTTGGCAGTTTTTGGCCAAGTTTTCGATTAAATTATCTTCCAATGTGATTCTTAGATTGTCTGGTGTGTTGTAAATTATGCAAGTGATATATCCTTTATGCATCCGATATACCTTTATCTATATCTTTACATACTTTCAACTTTGCCATCGATCAGTAAGTAGGTGAAGTCTGTCGAGTCATACATCACCATTATGGATTGTTATGTCAAGTTAACTGTTCGTTTTTAACACAATTTTTCCTTTTTCTTAACCTGTCGGTAACCTGTTGGTTAAGACCCTGTCGGTAGAAAGATCTTGGCAGTCGGCTGACAGAGCTCTTCTTCACAATTACCGGAAATTGAAAGATCTTTGAAGATCTTGTCAAGAAAAAGTAGGTTCCTTGAAGATTTCGACAAGCAAATTAAAGATCTGGGCAAGAGATTTGAAGATCCTAAAAGATCTTGACAAGAATGTCAGTGATCCTTGAAGATCCTGGCAAGGAAATGGAAGATTGTTGAAGATCTTGGCAAGAATGTTATGGCACCTTCAAAATTTTGACAAGAAAATAAGCATACTTAAAGAAAAGTTTATGGGATGAAGCATGATCTTAACCACCAAAGATGTTAACTATTAAAGAATGGATGTAGAGGTCAGATTAAATGCTCACTCGGTGTAAACAACACAGGTGACAATGGGTTTCTGGCCAAAAGAAAAAACCTCATAGTAAGTTAAAAAGAAAAACTGAACCAAACCTAAAAAAATGATGATAAAACCTTTTTTGTATTGCTAAATGAGAATTACCCATCCTCTTTTAGTAGGACTACTTCTGCTGGGAGAAAAAATTTTCCTTTCAGATTTTAAGTTAGTATTAAGATTTTCATTTTCCAAAAAATCTAGCTACAGTGCAGCTCAAAGATAAGAGGACCAAAATATATGTGTTTAACTTGTCTAGGACTAGATTATGATCAGACTCAGACTAGTCTTAAGGAGGGGGTAAACATGAAAAAAGACACTCTTTTCAAACAAGATTACCTCAATAACTATATTTCTGAACCATATTAACTTATAAACCAAAGGAAAGCTTAGGAATCACAGACAATGAATATAACTAATATGTTGCCCTAAACTAATTTGTTATTTGACACCAGATCAATCTGTCAACCTCATGGTGTGAAAAACCTAGGTATACTTGAGAAAAGATAACTGTACTAAGATTGCATGAAATCAAGTACTTTTAGTGTCAAAGCAAAGTACTAGGGTCATTCTCTTGGATGAGGTGGGGAATTTTGGGACTCATCTATATTATGGGCACAGTACCCATCCAAAGTTCACCAAAATTATTAGGTGAGTTCACAATAACTTTCTTAAAATTCAACTTATGGAGAAATTGTCTGCTTAACTGTCAATGAGAGATACAGCCCTGAAAATTACAGATTAATTGAACTAATACATCCTGAGGTACAAAATAAGTGTTTTTGGGAATTGAAATGAAAACAAAAAGGGTCTCTTTAAGTTGGTTACACAGAACCAAGTAAATTCACACCTTCTTTACAAACATGTCCTTCAGAGAGCATCAAGGAGAATCTCTCTAGATCAGTAAGCCCGTATCCTTGTCCCTGAAACACATCCTTTCCATCCTCACTCTCCAAGGGCTCAGAGCAAGAATCATTGGGCAAGCATGGCATCTTCATTTTCTTCCTTGAAGCACCAATGGATTCCATTTGAAAAAACAAAAAACAAAAAACAAGAAATAAAAAAAGGAAGAAAGGTTGCCACGGTTATCTTTCTTGCACACTCTGATTGAACAGTAATGTAAAAAACTTTTCTTCCAGGTTCAAAAAGAGATACCTTTTCATAAGAGGCTCCTGCATTACGTTGACCTCTAAAGCTGGTTAAATGTTGATATTTCCATGTTCAACATGGAAATGATTTTTTTTATTTACTTTATTTACTTGCATTTTTTTAGATTTGTTCAAGCAGCTGTTTCTCTTGCTGTTGTAATACCTTGTTTGTTAGAGCTACAAGAGCAGCATTATGGAGTCAAGAAAGGAATACCAACCCTTGTCATGGCTGCTGCTTCCTTTGACAATGTCTTTTGCATAAGTGCATTTGGGATCTGCTTAGGAATAGCATTTGGCTCAGGTAAAAATAATGATCTGTTTAGTCAGATCAGTTGTGGGTTTTCAGGTTTTAATTAATTGAAATTCAGAGTCCTTTATAGTAATGAATAACCTTGTAAAATTTGTCTCACTCCCTACAGGTCACTTCATAGCTGTAGGAGACCTAACTGTCTAACTAGTATCTGGGAGGGATGGGTTGGACTGGGCCCCTCAAAGCCTATGTTTTTAATTTATTCAATTTATCTCTCCTGCAAGGATCTTTCTTTACTTCAAGGCATGTTGGTTGACTTTACTCTCACAGTTTAATCAGTTCGTATTTCATTATGTTTAAGGTAACCTCGTATTCAGCATATTCCGAGGACCAATAGAGTTGGCTCTGGGAATAATTCTTGGATGCCTTGCTGGTTTAATTTGCTGGTATTTTCCTAATGAGAATGAGGTAAACAGTAATGAAGAGCTTAAATAGAAAATTCAAATTTTTTTGGAATTATTGTAAACTACCAGTGTTATTATTTCTTTCTGTGTTTGTTCTGTGGTTAAGCTCTGGTTTGGATGAAAAAATAGTATTTAAAGCAGATGTGTTGACAGCCTTTTTATCCCCTTTTTCTTTTTTTCACAATTTAAACATTTTCTGATGACTTGGCCTAGTTTGTTTAAGTATGTATTACTAAGTTTGTTGCAATTTTGCTGACTTTCAAGGTGTACCATCATGGAATACACCACACTGCTTTTTGATAAATGCCTAGCTGTTTTAATTTGTAACTGATTTCCTTTACCATCTCTGCATTTGTTTCCTTAGACTAACTTGGCTCAAAACAGAGTAGTGATTCTGCTGTCACTTTCACTGTTATCAGTATTTGGAAGTAATGTGGCAAAGTTCTCTGGTGCTGGGGCTCTTGGGGTCCTAACCATGTCAACTGTTGCTGCTTATGGCTGGACACAGCAGGGGAAGGTACATTACTGTTTGTCAACTAACACTGCCTAGAATTGATGAGAAGGTAAATGGTTTGAAAAATGAAATGTGGACTTTGTAAGGTTTCAAGTGTACCAGCCAGTCTATCCTGTCTTCTTGAATATCATACATCTCTATCTTAAACCTAGTAGCTGCAGGTCAGTTGAAAGTAAATTCCAAAATCATAGGAAACCTCATTGTCAACCTCAATGCACCCTCTAAAATGTGCCCAGCTTCCATACAATGTGTGGCTTCATAGCTCAGTTGGTGGTAGCACCAACTACTATCTGGGAGGCAGGGGTGCAAATCCTGTCAAAGTCTGAGTACCATTGAAGGCTTCTTCTGCTCAAATTTCAGCTCGCCTGTGAGGATCATTGATTTACTTAATATTTATCTGTTCATCAAATGAAATTCCTTTCACACAAAAATAAATGTGTAAAGGGTTGGGTTAACTTGACTTACTTTATTATTATATGAATCAGAACTATTAATAACAAAATTCTTGAATTTGATTGGTTATTGCCAGCCCAATTTGAACACTAATAGGGCATTGCTAATCACTCGTATTATTGATTACAGACCCAATTGGACTCCTCTTGGTCCCATTACCATTATGGATGGCATTGATTTTTTCAATGAAAAGGACTCCCCTATTTTTTCCTTTAGAAAAAAAAAGTTCATTTTGAAGGAGTCATGAAACAATTCTTATTAATAATTGGACATGGGATAATAGATCCTTATTTTAAGCTTTATTTTCATTTGTAGGTCCCTGTAGCCCTGGTGATGTCTCTAGTATGGCAAGTGTTTGAACCACTACTGTTTGGCCTTGTGGGGGCTGAAGTCAGTGTAGAATACATGAACAGTAAGGTTGTTGGTGAGTTATTACAATGGAATAATCTACAGGCAGGGTGTTGAAACTTTAGTATGGTTGTTGCTCACCTTCAATCTGGATTTTTTCCCAGTCCCCCCAAGGTCAACTCCTTATCTTTGTCAAAACCCAACTGGTTCACGTTGTGCCCGCAAGGGCTATGACAAAATTTTTGTCTATTTCTTTTTTTTTAATGTTTCTTTACATTGGCTAGGGAAAGACCCCTCGAAGAAGTAACAAATAAAGTTATTATTGTTGGTTATTTTTATTATCAAATTATTAGGTATCACTTGGTGGTGGTATTATTCTAGAGAGTTGGTGATTTTTACTTGTCGCATGGCGATAGACTTTTTTGTATTCCAGAGTCAAACATTAACGTTATGATTATCATTATGTCATAATTAAACAGGAGGTATACAGTCCTGAATGAATCAAATTGCCGATGGGTTCAGTTGATAAAAAGTGTCAGTATTGGCTCATTGTCGTATGAGTTACTGAATACAGTCAGCTGATCATCTCAATTGGCCTAACCCTAAAAATGATTTTTTACCTTTTTTTTTCCTGGTAGGAACGGGTATTGCAAGTTTGGTTGTTAGTCTGGTTATACGGCTCTTCGCCACTTATCTTGGCTTGCTTGGTAATGACCTCAGTTTGAAGGAGAGACTGTTTATTGCCATAGCGTGGTCACCAAAAGCTACGGTTCAGGTATGTAAAAAATAAACAGGATATCAACAGGTATTAAATCTGGCCGAGTACGGGAGTTCCTTTAGAGAGGAGGCGTCCTGAAGGCAGAGGTACAAGGGAAGGAGAGATGGAGGTAGGGAGATAAGGAGTGAGGGGTGTGGGAGAGAGAGGTGTGGGAGAGAGAGGGGAGAGAGAGGGGAGGGGAAGGGGAAGGTTAAAGGACGGAACGAATCTATTGAATGTTCTAATTATTTGTTGAACCGTATGCGAAATTTAGGCCGCCATTGGTTCTGTTTCGCTGGACTTAGCTCGACAGAAGGGCTTCACAGGGCAAATTGAAGAGGAGTTTGGAATACAGGTGAGTTGCTTTCTCAGAGTGCACGAATTCTTTTATGATTATGTTTATGGATTTGATGTTAGAAGGAACCTATTAATCTTCAAGCTAAAAGATACTTCCACTGTTTGTATATTTGTTATGATAGATTCTGACCATTGCTGTTCTGGTTATTCTTATCACCTCACCCATCGGCGCCATTGGAATCGTTTTGGCAGGACCGCGAATGTTAGAGCGCAGTCTCCCTCAAGAAGTAGAGGTCGATGGTGTTCTACAGAAATCTTCCGGATCCCATGAAAGGAGGGAAAGTCGATGTATAGAAAGCACCGTGTAATATTGTTATATTTTTTTACGATTTCGAGAACAGACTACTTAGCGAAGCAAATCTGAAGAGTACTGAACTATAGTTGTATATTTTTAACTTACCGAAATGATAAAAGAAAAGATTATCAGTTTTGCTATGAAATAATTATTGTACAGTCGCAATTGACAACGAAAATGCCAAGTTAAACTTGCAAAAAGCTTAGAAAAGTACTAGTGCATTCACGCAGATTTAAATAATTAGAAATAAAGTCAGCGGCTTTCATTAAATGCATTCATTAAATAGTTTATTAGGATAATGCGCTACTGTTACAAGAATTTGACCAGAAGCATATAACTTACTGATCTTCAATGTCCACTATGCTTCTTATTCTACAGCAGAGAGTCACACACGACTGACTAACACTAAATGAAAAACTGAAAAGTTGTTGGAAACAATAAAACAAACCATGTTATTAACTAATCGGTGGAAAACAAACATTAAACAGAAACAAATCATAAGTGAAACCAAACGCGAAAAAGGAAAAAAACAAAACAAAACAGAAAAGTAAAGAAATAAACAAAATTAAACCATAAGGAAAACGAATAGCGAAAGTTAAAGTTGTGGCTCTGATAACGTGGGTAAATCAAAGTAAAGTGTATTTTATACTTTGATGAAAAAATAAAAGATGAACAGAATAAAATATGCGATAATGCTAGCAATGGATAAGATCTCGACTCCGTGTCAATCAGACGGAAAGTGTCCTTCTATACTAATTGACTGTGATGCACAGTCAACTTTCCAGAGTATGAATAAAGGGGTAAGTTTCTAAAGAAACTGTGATGCTGCGTCGGTGGGAGAGTATAGCAGGTAATTTAGTGTTAACAACTGGGTTGAAAACGTAAATTAGCCACCGTAGAGGGTAAAAAAGCTGACGTTTCGAAGGGCTAACGCTCGAAACGTCAGCTTTTTTACCCTCTACGGTGGCTAATTTACGTTTTCAACCCAGTTGTTAACACTAAATTACCTGCTTTCCAGAGTATGCTCAGCGATTACAAGATCGAGCCATGTATTGGATGATTTCTTGGCGTTAGAGTTAGGTGTACGTACTGGCGATCACATCGTCAGGTTCATGGCCTAAGTTGATATTCGCATTATTGTCTGTGTGGTTTTCAAGCCTTCCTCTACGGCAATACCTGCGACTTACTCCCAGTATTACCAAAAAGGTAATGAGTAGAATCGCTAACGTAGCCGTGCCGAAAATTAAAAGAATTTGCCATTTTTTCATTCCATCATCTTTCTCTCGGCTCTTCTCCCCCGATTCTTTATCTTTTGATGAGGTATTTCGATCGATTGTCACAGTCAACGAGAAAACGACTAACGTTTTAACATCGGCATTTTGTGACGCAGGCGTTGCTGTGATATTGACTTGCGTGACGATGCCAAGAGGGGTGTTGGGCTCAGATGAAAGGATTAATATAAATGAAGTAGTTTGTTGATGATCCATAAATATTGGAGACGGTTCAACATTACCATTTATACGAGGTTGTGATGTCAGCACCTGGGAATAGAAAGCAACAAACTGATTAAATAGGAGCAATCGTGGTGGTATTCATCACTCCAAAACTATGGACAAGCTTTGAGTGATATGTTCACCAAGTAGGGATGTTACTAATAAAAAGGTAACGGATAAGCAGTGCCTCTATGGAATGCAAGGAAGTCTTTTGTCCAGATTATATTTCATGTTTCCCGGCAATTGTTAAACATGATTTTATAATTGGCTTTGATTGATTGTCATTTATTACCAATTACTATATACTTACATGGAAGGTGAAAGTTTCAGCCGTAGCCAAATTCATAACTGTAAAGTTGAACTTTGAACTTTCTCCAGTTTCCAAAGACAAGTCATGAGTGGGAACATTTGCCTGTAACCGGATGTATTTGAGCGCTGCCGTTGATGTTCCAGGCGTACTTGTTATTCGTCCCCGTGGCGTGACAAAAACCGTAACATTAAACAGGTTCACCTCTTTAACATTTACAGCATCTGACTGTGCAATAGCCCTCACGCTTATTGTCTTCACCTCACTGGTGTTAAAACGTGAAGCAATAACCACGTGACCTGTAGTACTTGCGTTTGTTTTCAGAGCGAGGCTGAAGGGGATGACGTAACTTATGAGCGAGGACGTCTTAGTCACTCGAAACAAAAAGGACCCTTTGGAGCCAAGGTTGACGAGTGTGAAAGGTACCTTTATGGTTTCTCCTGGGTACAGAGTCACATCGGAGGTGTTTGGATGGACTCTAAATGACACGATGTCTGGAACGAGGCTTACAGAGCAAGTTCCCATGTTTCCAACGAGATCTACTCCGACGAAGATGACCTTTGGATGGCAACAGCTGGATGTGAATGATGCTGAAATCGGCGTATTAGCAGCTCCCTGGTTGAAAGCAGCCACTGAACGAAAATAAAGTAATATTAGTGATAAAAATTATTGATTTGCATTGCGCAAATATCAATCCCGGAAAAGAAATTTTTTATCTGCGTATGGAAAGTAATAAAAGAAATGTTAGTCTAGGCGATTTTTACCAGTTAATCACTATCTGTTTTGAGAGATTGGATCGGAAGTCTTGGCAGAATCCTTCTAAGAAGTCGCAAATTTTCGGTTCCTTGTAGAATTTTCCTGCGTGACTTAAGAATAACTTTCATTTGAGATTATTAGACACTCAAAAAAAAAAAAAAAACAGAGGAATGACTTCATTTACCTTTGAGAGTTCCATTACGATTTTCTCGTGACGTAATAGACAAAAGCCCTTCTCCGGAGTCGTTGAACGTGACATGCGCAACCCACGTGCTGGAAACACACTCAGGTCTTCCGTATACCCCTGCGCATGACCCACTCTGGCTCGTTACATTACATAATGGTGGGGAGAGATCTGGGGCCTGTTGATGTCAAATAACGGTGGCGCATGAATGAAAGTTAGGTCTGTTTTTTTTTTGATATTTCCTCACATTGACATTTGTCACCATTTCGCTTACATAACGATGAATCAATGGAAGAAAACGACTCAACAAGGAGCTTAGTGTATTAATGATGATGATAATGATAGCAGTTGTGATAATGGTGATGGTGATGATGACTTAGGACCAGGTGATAACGGTAGGGATAAATAATAATAGCTTCCAAGGAGAAGAAATCTATTAAACGTGCATCTTCCACTGGAAGAGTTTTCTGATTATGTTTCTTCTCGCAAAATGCCTTTAACCTTTGAACTTTGCAAACTTTTCTTTAATTTCGCTCACCTTTGAAGCAACAGTAACAAATAAGACCATGAAATTCACGAGTTGAGTGAACCCCGAATCCTGAGATACGAATACTGTGACAGTGCTGGTGACACCATACTTTGCGTCACTCGGAGCTGCCAGAGAAACTCGAAGGAGAAGCGAATCATTCTTTCCTAAGCTTCGTTGGGATGGGTTAATACTTCTGAAAAAGTTCAGATCATCTGAAGCATTGAAATACAATTGCTGAAAATCTCCAGTGTTTACAACGCTGATTTCCAACTCTGAAGATTCTCCTGGGAAAATGGCGTTTGAACTGTTACTACTGTGGACGTTTTGGGAAAGTTTGACGTCACCAAGAGTAAATAAAGTTGGCTTCACCCGCTGAAATTTGGCTCCTGTTGTGTCAAAACCAGTCACTTTAATTCTAAACCTGTCTGCCGATGGAATAAATTTGACGTAATAGAAATCCTGGTAGAACCCTTCTCCTTGTGTTATGTTGAAGGTTTCCAAGCTTGTTCCGTCAATGCCAACAAGAGTTAAATTGGTCACTTCGTCAATTTCTTGACCAACGAAGTTCAATGTAAGAAGCAAAGTTTGACCTGTAATGGAGTGAACAAAAGGACTTGGCTTTTTTTTCCTGCCAAAAATAAGTTCAAACTTGCCCTTGGCCGTGAAAGCTTGATTGTCAGGCAGCGAGTTATCATTTCAATTATGGTTTCAACAAATACTTCGCATTAACTTATCCTGAGGATGGGCCTTCCTGAAGGCTGTTTGAAAGAGAATTTATCAATTCAGTTATACAAATCTGGAAGGTTATCGATATGCAAGCGTGTGATTTGCATTCTTCTGATTGGTTTCTGTGACTGTCTTACCTCTTAGAGGATTTCCAAGCACTCGCCTTGTGTTTCCTCGTTCCTCGTCCTCTACGTCCAAAAGCTGGTATGTAAAGTCGATTGGACTGGAACCAGTAGCTTGCAATGTATAGGGACCCTGACAGCTGACGGTAAGCTTCAGTGAGCCGCTGTTGAAATTGGCGATCTCTTTTATTAGAAGCTCACTAGAGGAGCTGATGATATTTTCCTGCATTCCTGAATTTCCTTCAAGAAAAACAAAGATTATTACTGAATATTACATAGGCTAGTTGATTACATTCTTAGACTTGTTGGCATTACAATCTGAAATCAAATTACCTCTCTCCTTCTTACATGAATGAATGAGGTTTTTTTTCTTTTAAAGAGGCTTTTTCGTGCACGCTCTCTATACCCCTGCACTACCATCACCATCATTTTCATCATCATTACTATAGTAAGATGACAGTAATGATAGCCGTGAATAAGGATGATGAAGATCATAATAATGATGACATTAGTCACACTTTTTTCATGTTAAAACCATTCTTTTCTGCTCCATTACCTTCAACACTAGTTACTTGTAAATTTGGTGATCCAGCAGCTGTTAGTATGAGAACTAAACTCTTTAGTGTGCTGTCGATATCAACAATATAAACAACTCTGCTAAAGTAACGTGCTGAAGTTTCTTTAATGTTTAGCAATTCAACTTCTTGCAGAGCCACGGATGAGTTTGATGAACCAGCAGGATCGATCACCTTGACAACATCAGCTACTTGAGCCTTACTAGTTCTTAGGACTTGTCCCCCTGTCTCAGTGGCGAGAGCCTGGTAAAGTGCCTGACCTTGAGCATTTCTCCTTACTCGATGAATCTCTTTGGGGACGACCGCTACGTCCTGGATACGACTCGCTGACAAATCCCGTCTGCGTCGGCTACACTGACTAGTTAGAATGAAAGATATTTTAACTTTTTTGTCCTTCGCAAGGGACATGACCTCATTTTCACGCTGGAAGTCTTTCACATCTGCATCCGAAAAGTAGTAGATCACACTTTCAGGTAGGCAGTGGAGAAGAGCCTGATAAAGACCAGTCATTCCCAGCTCCGGACAATCTCCGCCTCCGTTTGCAGTTAAATTTTTTACCGCGTTGATCACTTGATAGGGGTCGTTTGTCACGGTGACAGGGCCAACCTCTGTGGGAGAAAATATGAGCTAATAACACATCTCTCCATAGCGAATCGTAGACCAAGTTAAATTCATGGAGTCAGCCCTCATCTTTGTGAGTCCAAGTAAAACAGCACGTTGTTTAAAGTTTATCAACTCCTAAAGTCCCTCAGTATAGTTGATTTACGGACGACCTTCTTTTGTTAAACTGTAAACATTTTCCGGCCAGAGTTCGAGCATTTTCCTGGTTTATTGTGTTAAGACTTGGGCGAGAAAGATATTTTGACATGCCTCTCCAGGGTATTCCAGGGTACCAGGGGACACTCACAGATAACTGACGAAATATTTGGGAGGCAAGGGTGGGAGTGGGTCTCATAAGATTGATTAGCGTCCCATCCAAGAGGTGTTGTAATATACACAAGGTTTAAAGGTCACAGAAACGGAAAGAGCGCCGATTGTGTAGCTCACTTGTCTCAAGCGCAGACTTACCTGGATCGCTAAACGGCACAAGTATGTACGTGAAGGATACTCCTTCCTTTTCCAGAGTGTTGCGAACGAATTTAATTGAGACTCTCTTGACTTCCTCGATTTCATCTATTTTGAAAGGTTTAAAAATGCTTTATGTAACTATTGTGACGTTCTTATCACTTGTACAAATAAAATGATTTTGCGAAGTTGAGCACACACTTCGCAAAGAATTAATTAACCAGGGCCTTTGTATTACATACACTTATAAATAATTTGACCTAGACTCACCGTGTCATTTTTTAGAGAAAACAAATAGTTCATAGAGAAATACAATCATTGAACAAGCAAAATAATCCTAACAAATGACATTGCAAACCAAGGTTTACTTATATCATTTCATAACGAACTCGAAGGTCCCCCCCCCCCCGTACCTTCCCACCCTCCCACTTTTTTTCCTTCAGTAATTTAATCGCAAAGCTCAAAGGACTCACCGCTCATGCTTCCTGATACATCAATTACCAAAGCCATGCTCTGGTCTGACTTCAAGTTGAGAAACTTGGCGAAGATGTCGTCGCCAACCGTCGAACGGACGTCGCTTAGAAAAAGATAAGTTGCTTCGAGGGCCAGATCAGCCGCGACTTTATGAAGGCTACATTTAAGAGAAATCAAGATCGTGCGCGTCAAATTAAAGAAAATGCTTACATGTTTTGAAACGAGCGTGACAGGATAGAGAAAATCTGAATACCATGCAAAAAAAGGTGCCCCATGCAGTCCTCAAGATTGAGCTCGAATGTTTAACCGCAATGCTGCAGAGAATTCAAGGGATAGCCTTGCTAAAAGTAGGTTCATATTAGAGAAGCGTCTTTAGTACTAAATACTGCCCATCCAAGAAGTACGCAGGTTGCTTGTCGTAGATGTTACCGATGATGCTCTGGAGCAGAGACGTGACGCATCAACGAAAACAATCCGAGGGTCTGGTGTTTTACATTTGATTCCTCGAAGCGAGCACTAAATCATGCTCGCACTTCTTTCCTTAAAGACTGATTTAAAAATTTACCTCTTTTCGTAGTCTTCTCACTTAAATATTAAATGAAAATTCTTTCATTACCCAAGTCTAACACTTGAATTATCTCTTACAAAGCTAAATAACGCATTGTTCTTTCAGCTCACAGTTGGTTAAATTTCATTTTGAGTTCGTTTCCTTGTATAATTTATTGTTTCTTGGCCCCAGTGATATTTGGGCTGAATCATTGCATTTTCGTAGTATATTCGTAATATAAATTCTAGCATTGCACTAGTTTTGCTTCACAGCACTCTAATTGTATTCATAAAAGCGTATAAACTTCTCCTGCTCTGTGAACCGATTCGTACTCGAATGAGCCAGCTGTATTTTTGTGCGAACGATTAGGAAAGATCAATTCCTCGAGTGAACAAATCGAATTTTTCGCTTCCTGTTTATGGACTCGATGTTCAACGTTCCATGATGAAACTGAGATGAAAGAGCTCTGAGATCACGAACACGTCTCTCTTCGCAAGACGCATGAAATCTTTTCGTGGTTTCTTTTCATTTGCTTTGTTTACAAAAGCACATTAGAAATATCACCAAAAACAGAATTACAATATATGCCAATTTGACACTTCTGGTACATCCATGTGGGGTTTGTTGTGTTAAGTAATTACTTATAAACAAAGGCTGGTGATTATTATATAGTATCATCATCGTTATATAGTGTTGATAAACTGTATGGTTAAACAAGACCCCTTCTTCGATGTTATACGGCATGGCGAAACTGAGATGGAAGACATCAGGTTTTATATAAACATCTTCCCTCTTTCACCCCTCTCAGCTTTAAAGGATGTCTTTTCGACGTCAGACGGTTTTCCACCGATGCTTTTCATTAGATAAGCTCATTTCACACTTCGCCGAAGATAAACTTAAGGTCTTCTCTAATTTGACCCTTTTTCAGTATTTGTACTTTCAAGTAGCGGCTGATAACAAAGGCTGATAACATAGGCTATTACATTACGTCAACTGCCCGTCTTGCTGAAACGGACTTCTTCCGGTCCTAATTATGACAATGGTCTTTCAGTTTCGTTTATCAACTGTCGTGCTCAAAATAGTCGCTGACAAAGCACCCAGAAGTTTCGTTAACTTGGTAGTGCACTTTCACTTTCATTTCGACCAAATTGCATACAGATACGTTCTTCTACGTCTATAGGAACTTCTCTAATAAAAGAAAATGAATCTTGTGAGTTTTTTTTTTTTTTTTAAGGATCTTCACCTTCACCTACACTCACCCGGACGATCAAATTACACTACTACGATCTTCACCTTAGCCGAATGCATTATTTTATGCGATCGTGCTACAAGAATTACAGCACGCAATTGCTAATACATGGCATTTTTTTCTTTGTCAAAGGTCTCATACCTTGCATGGGGCGATTCCTTTATCGACGTTGAATCTTTGTTAATTCCACCCGTCGCAGACTGAAAACGACTGTCGTCTGTTCCTCCACCGTGGCTACACTTTCCTTTGTTTACCGGTTTCCTTACGTCTTGTCCTGACCGATATCCGCTCGTAAGTTTTCCTGTGATCAGATTTGTCCCACATTTATCATTTCTGTCTTGGTCTGAGAGACAGCTCGTGCATGTTGCTTCATTCGGTCCTGCAACGAATATTTCCGAAATCTCGTTTCCGGGTTGACCCAAAGCATCAAATGGAACCGAATTGCCAAGCTCTATCCAGTTTGAGCGGCTGTAGAAATCCTGTAAAGTGTGCAGCGCGGAACCTGCCAAGTTCCGAGCATGTTTTAGCTTATCACCCTTCAGAAGGGAAGTTATCAGCTCTTGGCGCAATCGGATGAGGCGCTTTGCGCCTTGTTGGAACTGCTCGCCATCAAAATGTTCCTCTGCCTTCCTGTTTAAGGGATCCACTTCCACGTTAGCGCTCTGAATCTCGTTGATGGCATTGATGAACTTGATTTGCGAAGAGATGGTGTTCATAGCATCTTTACCTGCAGTCGGTTCCTCTCCTAATTCAGATAGGACACCTTGAAGAAAATCAGTCAAGGATTCGTTCTTCAAATACTGGGAGTTGTCGAAGAAAAAGTGTATAACTGTCTTAATTAACCCATTTCTTGTTATCAAAATGTGATCCTTTGTTTCTGATTTTTGTTTTGCTGAGTTAATCCTTGGAAGAAATGCATGGACCGTAAAAGATAGGAAAGGCGCTAAAATAAAACACGCGGCAAAAATTTGCATACTTCCAGCTGTCATGAAAACTTGGGTTCAAAGGCTGCACTGGTAAAAATGTCTAATAATTGTAAGTAGTGCTTCAGTCTTAAACTCCTGTAAATGATACGACTAAAGATTGTCGGGTAATTAATGAGAGGGGATCATTCAAATGCTAAGAACTCTACACAGGAAATGACTTAATAGTCGTGGCATCTGAAACTAAATTTTGCAATGTCATATAAACAGCAGGCCTGTGTAGAAAGTAACGTGACACATACCTGTTGCACGGAAACTTTTAGAAATGTCGAGATTGCAATTGATTATATGAGGGAAAATTTACAATGAAAACAGCAGAATTGGATTAAGTTCATTTTATTGCATTATTCAGGTTTAGAAAATTTGTAGTCAACGGTGCCATTCTTACGTCATAAAATAAGGTTCATCCAGGTAAAAATGGTTTAAATGTTTGTTTATTTCCTTTGTTTGTGTCCCATTTTTTCTCGGTTCTTACGTGTCTTTCTTTCTTCTTGGTTTACTGTATGGGTGTGAATGCTTTCTAACGATTTATAAAGCGTTTTGAGGGTTTAAATGCTGTTTAATGATTTGTTTGCATTTTTAGTTATTGTTATTGTTTCCGGTTTCTTTAAATTTCTAGGTTTCAGTCTTGTTATTTTTTTTTTGTTCTATTTCATTTTGTGTGTGGTGCGCTTGTTTGGCTGACACAAACAAACCAAAGGTGACTATCTGTAAGTGAAAACCTGAAAAACGCTTATCCTTTGTGCCCTTACTCTCTCTTCAGTTGTTTTCGTCTAAATAGTGAGGACAAATGATATCTCCTTTAAGTTCATCAAATTTGATGTGACCCCAATCACCAGAACTCTTATCAACTAGTCTGACTTGGGCGTATTGACCAATGGATTCCTTTACGTCCCAGCTCTTACGGAACATTGTCTCGTTAAGGTTGCTTGTTTCTGCTCTGACAACCTACAAGTAACAACAAACATCAAATATGTATGAAATTTTTATACTTCTTGATTATCGTGTGGTATGGAGTCCATTTTACAGTTTTGTATTCAATTACCTTTCTAACAGTATGCGCCGGTAAACCCTGAAGGACATTTACAACGAAATCCTTTATCAGTGTATCCAGCTTGACATGTGCCATTGTTGAAACAGGGACTGCTGCTGCATGGATTCTGATAAAGAAAAAATTACTGCGTACTATAAATATCCATGGTTAGTTATTACTTATTATCAAAGGAACACAGTCTTGCTGGATTGATAACTTCCTTAGGCTCTTTGATCAATTGAATATTAGAATCAATTACACTTTGTCAATCATTAAACCAGGAAATCGATTAATCGAGTCACTGGATTTTTGTCAGGTTAAGTAGTGGTTGATTTATTAAGAAAGGCTCCCATTCTTGTTAGACACGGGTTCTTTGATTTTTCCCTTTTTTAATACTGTACAGATAACACCACTGGTATACGTTAGCTTTGGTATTTTACCTTGCTCAGGTGATTCCTAATTTTCCTTAAGTGTTCGCTGCCAATCACTGTATCTAGAACTACCATACAAACGATAGGCCACCAAAGAGATATGATGGGCCAATATCACCCCATTCATTACCGTATTGGTACTAATCAAGTGCTCTATTTTATCGGTTCACGGTACATTTTGCGGTAGTTTTTAAACGAAAGTTTAAAAAGAAACACTTGGGCGATAGGTAGAGAGTCGATAGGACTTATGGAACAACGTAATATATAATCTGTTGAAAAATAATTCAATTTCATACGAAATCGGGTCAAAACGTTTCTCGTGATGCATAGTGCAATATTAAGGAATCACCTTAATTCAATACAAGGATTGCAAGGCTAGCTTAAGAAGTAATCCGACAAAATTATCGCGCACAATTACTGTCCGCCGTCTGAAATAAGTCACTTTACCTCGATGCTTAGATGGATATAATCTTGTTTACTCTGAAGATCGGATGAGCCTGGACTTTCGTCTGAAGCATTGTTCAACTCACAAATGTAGTTGCCTCCTTGCGAAGGCCCCAAATTTATGGACACACAACTGGGCTCCATATAGCATAGCACATTACAGCTCCCTTGGTGGGGTACCTCTATAAGCCTGATTAAGTGCCCCTCCATGACTTTGTTCCGTATTGGTTCTTTGAAAACAATGGCTCGACTTTCTTCACCTGTTTAGTATTAAAACAACAAAAAGAGAATAAAATTATCAAGTTCATGCACGGTTTTGGTCTAGAGATAGAGATTTCAATAGCAAGGTAATATCAGGTAAAGATACGTGACTTTTGATATATTTTCCACACGCCCCCAAAAAAGCAAAAGAAGCTGAAATAATGAGATATCTATATCTAGATATATCAACAAAACATGACACAAAAAAAAATACAAAAACAAAAACTTAAGTTATAATTAAGACTTAGCAATTAAAAAACACTGTTGGTGGGAGAAGTTACAGCGTAATTATGTATTCATGGTGATGGCTCTTTCAAGCGGTGCGGATAAAAGGATATAACATCGGGGCAGATGTTCATAACATTTTTATCTCACGCTCATTAATTAGAGCCTTTTGAGATGACCGGCGCCATTTCAATTGTGTTCAGCTATATTCGGTTCAATTTGCTCTTTCCAAACACACACCAAAAAAATAACTGAAATACATTCTCCACATGATTTATAACCGAAGAAGCAATGAGTGTATAGGCTGAACATCAAGAAAATAATAAAAAATTGTAAACAAGAAAAAGAAAGTAGCAGTGGTAGTAGCTTGATATGTGACTACAATTGTTAAAACTATGGGCAGTAAAGTTATGAGTTTCTTTTCCTGAAACGAGTAAATGTTCCTGTTTGTGAAAAGGCCGCGTGCGTCATCATAGAATATCCTCTGTTAACGATCTCTGCTTCTACAGCAATGATTTTCAGTCTTAAATTAAAACTCCGCTTGAAGCTATTCCGTAACTGATATCAAACATTTCCCATGATTAAAGCTGTTTTCTCTAGGAAAGACATTCCTAAAACCCCGATTACGTAACATGTATAGACACCAGTTTGAACCGTATTTCGATTCAATACACAAGTTTGTTGAACATCTAAAGCATATCATACCGTCTTGAGCCACAGCCTTTGAAAGAATTATGCAAAAGTATAGCTGTAGAATAAAAATGAAGCGAGACATCTTGAGAAGGAAAACAGAGTACCGGTCTCGAGAACAACTGTATCTGCTTCATTCAAAGACGTTGTTTTAAAAACATTTTTCTTTATATCAAATTGCATTTTCATCTACCAATGAAATACCAATGAAATAAATGCTGTTATGGCGACAAACTACCAGACACAATAGATTGATAAGATCGTGGTCCCCTCTAAATATGCAATATGTGTTACATCATTTACTTTTGATATAGTTTGTTGAGATCTGAATAGAAAAATTGTATTGCCTTAGCATTGCCTATGAATAAGAAATGACTTCTCCCGTGGAATCCCAATCAGGAGGTTTTGCCCAAATCTAATTTGACCTCTAAGGTCAAATTCGCTTCAGTGCATGTAGTTCTACCACGTGGTTTGTATACATGACAAAGAAGATACTAACTACTAAATATTGCAATGGTTTTAATTTGATCATGAATAACAAGTAAATGCATTTGGTGGGGTACGATAAAATCATCGCGAGTCGCGGTTATAAGATCTGTCCTTATAGAAATTCCTACTATTTCGCTTCCATAGCAGGTATCTCTATTACATGTACTTGTCGGTCTAAATCTGTGGAGGCACAAAAAAAAACAAACAAAAAACAATTTTTACACATAAGACGTGATGTATAAAAACTCAAACCTTTTTTAACAATGTAAAGTATAAACGTATCTACAATGGAGTTCTTATGTTACATTTAAATGTTTGTCACGTACACGTAATACTTCAGTGTCATTAGTGCCATGCTACAAACTATGTTGGCAGGCAGTAAATTCTATTTGTGATGAGGATGTATTTGAAAAACAACAAATTTATTCAGCCTTTACCTCTTTTTTTTTAATAGTTAATAACCGGTCAGAAACTCCTGTGCACTGTCACTTGGCATGAGCAAATTGTTTTATATACACAGGTGCCAAGTAACGGCGGGGCTCGGTTTGCAAAGGAGGCAGGGTTACCAAGCTGATTTTCAACGGTCGTGTGTTAAGGTGAATGTGTACGCGGGCCGTTAGAAACGTCTACAACTCAAACGTGATTAGTTATCACCAGCCCGATTTGAGAACTAATAGGACAGTGTACGCGTCATTTTTTAATTTGAAAGTGTAAAAGGAGAGCTTAAGGGACAGTTAACAAGTCACTGATGCCTGTGTAAGTGGACAGAACACTTCATGTGCATGCGCTGCTGTCTCCCATTTCGCCTAGTTAACTGTTATATTATTATACAAAAATATATAGCCAATGTCTAGTTTTACCTAGTTTCTTTCGCAAATTTTGTCATAGTTTTGATTAATTGGTAACAGGACTTCGTGTTGTCCAATTCTGTCTGTAATCATACTCGCGATTAATAAATCAGAGTCCCACTTCGCAGTCGTTCAATGTTGTATCTCACTCGTATGATTATAGACCGATTTGAAGTCCACTCAGCCCTATTGCCATTTTGGACTCCCTTATTTTTTCCTTGAGAAACAAAAAATTTATTTGAAGGAGACATGCAATAATTTTTATTAATTATTGCACATGGGATGATGGATTCTTATTTTTAAGTTTGTGTACATTTATAGGCCCATGTAGCCATGGTGATGTCTCACGTGTGGCACATGTTTGAACCACTTCTGTTTGGCCTTGTGGGAGCTGAAGTCAGTGTAGAGTACATGAACAGTAAAGTTTTCGGTGAGTTATTACAGTGGAATAATCTACAGGCAGGATGTTGTAACCTTAATATGTTGGACACGAAGCTACAGTCTGTATTAATTTTGTTCTCAGTCCCTCCAAGGTCAACTCCTTGTCTTTACTCAGTCAAAAGCCAACTGTTTCACCTTGTGTCTGCAATGGCTCTAAGCTAATTTTTGTCTATTTTGATTTGTTGAATATTTCTTTACATTGACTAAGGAAAGACCCCTCGAGGGAGTAACAAATAAAGTTATTACTATTAAAAATTTGTATTATCAAATTATTAGGTATTACTTGGTTGTGGTATATATGTTATTCTAGAGAGTTGATGATTTTTACTTGTTACATGGCGAAAGACTTATCTTTATTGCAGGATCAGACATTTACACAATCCTAAATGAATAAAAAAGTCCCCTTCCCTCCCTGCTAATGGGTTCAGTCGACGAAAAGTGTCAGTATTGGCTGATTGCCGTATGAGTTACTGAATACTCAGCTGAACATCTCAATGGGTCTAACCCCAAGAAATGATTTTTTCCCTTTTTTTTCCCGGTAGCAACGGGTATTGCAAGTTTGGTTGTTAGTCTGGTTATACGGCTCTTCACCACTTATCTTGGCTTGCTCGGTAATGACCTCAATTTGAAGGAGAGACTGTTTATTGCCATAGCGTGGTCACCAAAAGTTACGTTTCAGGTTTGTAAAGAATAAACAGAACGTCAACAGATACTAAATTTGGCAGATTACGGGAGTTCCTTTAGAAAGGAGGCATGGAGGGAGCAAACAAGCATAGAAAAAAAAGAAAGAAGGAGGGAACCGAAAAAGGAAGGGATGGAGGATAGGTGAAGGTAGAGGTAGCAAAGGAAGGAGAGATGGAGGATAGGTGGAGGCTGAGGTAGGAAGGGAAGGAGAGATGGAGGTTGGGAGATAACGAGGAGGGAGAGAGTGTGGGAGAGAGAGGGGAGGGGGAGGGGAAGGTTGGAGGAAGGAATGAATCTATCGAATGTTCAAATTATTCATTGAAACATGTGCTTAATTTAGGCTGCCATTGGTTCTGTTTCGCTGGACTTAGCTCGACAGAGGGGCTTCACAGGGCAAATTGAAGAGGGGTTTGGAATACAGGTGAGTTGCTTTCTCAGAGTGCACGAATTCTTTTATGATTATGGATTTCATGTTAGAAGGAACCCATTAATCTTAAAATTAAAAGATAATCCATCGTTTGTATACTTGTTATGATAGATTCTGACCATTGCTGTTCTGGTTATTCTCATCGCCTCACCCTGAGGCGCCATTAGAATCGTTTTGGAAGGACCGCGAATGTTATAGCGCAGTCTCCCTCAAGAAGTGAAGGTCGATGGTGTCCTACAGAAACCTTCTGGATCCCATGAAAGGAGGGAAAGTCGAATTATAGAAAACACCGTGTAAGATTATTATATTTTATCTTTTTTACAATATCGAGAACAGAATATTTAGCGAAGCAAAGGTAGAGTACTGAACCATAGTTGTATATTTTTAACTTACCGAAATGACAGAGGAAAAGATTATCCATTTTGTCACGAAATAATTATTTCTCAGTCGCAATTGACAACGAAAATGCCAAGTTTAATTTCCAAAAGCCTAGATAAGTAAGTGCGCATTTACGCAGATATATGTATTTAGAAATCAAGTCAGCGGCGTGCATTAAATGCATTCATTAAACAGTTTATTGAAATAATGCGCTACTACTGCAAGCCTTTGAATATAAGCATATAACTTACTGATCTTAAATATATCTACTATACTTCTTATTCTTCAGCATAGTGTCGAACACGACTGACCACCACTAAATGAAAAACTGAAAAAAGTTGTAGGCGATCATAAAACAAACCATTTTAAGTTATTAACTAATCAGCAGAAAACAAACATAAATCAAAAAAATCAAAAGCGAAAGCAAAACCAAAACCAAAAGTGAAAAAAGAAAACAAAAACAACAAAGTCAAGAAACGAGAGAAAACAAGAGGGAAAACGAAAGAGAAAAGTAAATTTGTGGCCCTATGAACCTGGGTAAATCAAAGTAAAGTGTATTTTAGACTTTGTTTAAAAAATAGACAGATGAACAGAGTAAAATATACGATAATGCACTCAAAGGATGAGATCGCAACTCCATGTCAATCAGACAAGTGTCCTGTCATACTTATTGACTGTGATGCACAGTCAGCTTGCTATGAATACGCTCAGCGATTACAAGATCAGATCATGTATTGGATGATTTCTTGGCGTTAGATTCAGGTTTGTTGATGATCCATAAATGTTCGCGACGGTACAATATTGCCATTTATACGAGGTTGTGATGTCAGCACCTAGAAATAGAAAGCAGCAAACTGATTAAACAGGAGCAATCGTGGTGGGATTCATTTCTTAAAACTTTGGACAAGCTTTGATGATATGTTCAGACAAGCAGTGCTTCTATGGAGGGAAAGGAAGTCTTTGGTCAAGGCATTGTAATTCATGTTTCCTGGCAGCGATTGTAACACATGATTTTAAAGTTATCTTTGACTAATTGTTATTATTACCAATTATTATATACTTACATTGAAGGTGAAGGTTTCAGCCGCTGCCAAATTCATAACTGTAAAGTTAAGCTTTAAAATTTGTCCAGTTTTCAAAGACAATTTTTGAGTGGGAACATTTACCTGTAACTGGACGCATTCGAGCGCTGCCGTTGATGTTCCAGGTGTACTTGTTATTCGTTGTCCCCGTGGTGTGACCAAAACCTTAACATCAAATAGTTTCACCTCTTTGACATTCACAGTATCTGACTGTGCAACAGCCCTCACGCTTATTGTCTTTACCTCGCTAGTGTTACCACGCGAAGCAATAACCATGTGACCGGCGGTACTTGCGTTTGTATTCAGAGCGAGGCTGAAGGGGATGACGTAACTTATGAGAGAGGACGTCTTGGTCCCTTGAAATAAAAAGGACCCTTCGGAGCCAAGGTTGACTGGTGTGAAAGGTACTTTTATGGTTTCTCCTGGGTAAAGAGTCACTTCGGAAATCATCGCCGTAGAGGCAAAGATCGTCAACAGAAGATATTCTTTGATGACGCACGCGTCCTTTTCACAAACAGGAACATTTACTCGTTTCAGGAAAAGAAACTCATAACTTTACTGCCCATAGTTTTAACAACTGTAGTCACATATCAAGCTACTACCACTGCTACTTTCTTTTTCTTGTTTACAATTTTTTATTATTTTCTTGATTTCAGCGTATACACTCATTGCTTCTTCGGTTATAAATCATGTGGAGAATGCATTTCAGTTATTTTTTTGGTGTGTGTTTGGAAAG